CTTCACTGTTCCGGCGTGAAGGAATCTCATTCTGGCTCCCTCTGTTCGCGAATTGACATGCTCGACGCGAGCGACCAGAGTACGCGGTCGTCTAACGGTCAAACGTCGGGGTGAAATCGGGGGCTAAGCGCATGTACGCTCGAGTGCGATGCCGTTCTGTCGTTCGGAGCAGCTTGTTAGTTCGGGAATCCGGCGGGAATTGCCGCCGGGAATCGGTGTATCTCTCTCTCTGTCTCTCTCGGTTTCCTCTCCGTTCATCTCGTCGACAGCTAAGCGGAGCGTATCCTCGCGCACGTTGCCATTCACGTTCGTTCGTGTCCCTCGCAGTAACGCGAGCTCGTCCGCCTACCCTCGGGCCAGCTCCCGTTTTTCTCTTTTCCCCATTCCGTAGTTCGCTTCCCCGGGTCTCTGTCCCTCTCTCAGGGCTCTCTGGCTAGCGCAGTCCCCGGCTCTTTCGGGTAATGATATCGCTAATTAAAAAGGCCGTGTTAATGGCTTCCCCGCAGTGTAGCCGTTACAAAAGAGATTCTTGACGCGGCGCGCCGTTCCCAGGAATGCCTTTTTGTCTTCGGACAGATCAAGTTCTGTGCGCTTGACACCCCCAAACTCTCGGGCGAGTTGGCGTAGATCCGCCGGAGCGCGATGAATCCTGTCCGCCGATCGGTCGAGCGCGAGTGGATCTCGGAATGCTCTCGAAACTTTCGCGAGCGTCAAGTTGCGCCTGCGACGGTGGGGAAACGCCCGACACGCTCCCGACAGCCACCGTGAAGAACATTCGGCCGTTGTTCGTCCGTTAACAGGCCGGAGGGTCTTATAGCGAAATATTTAGGCTGTTCCGTACGATCCCCTCCATGTTCCAGACTGGCTTCCTGCTTGGATGGCTGGCTGAAAGGTCTTCGGGCAGAAACGCGTGGCTCCTCTCGTTCGTCCGTCCGTTCGTTCGCTCGTTGGTGGATGTACGGCTCGTCGCCGATGCGACCGAGCCGCCTGCTTGGCTCAGCTATGTGGAGAATTCCCATTTTGGAGGAGGGAAGACGTAGACGGGCACAACGGGAAGACGTGGGAAAACAGACCGGGAATGACGGCGATGGCCGCAACGAATGACACCGACAAACGAAGTGTGTGTGTTCACAAAGAGCCATTCGTTGTGATGCAAATATTAGCTCGCAAATAAGACCGAAGGGCGCTCCTGACGGAGTCGCGGAGCCATTCCTGACACAGGAAACCATCTGTCACACTTGCTGCTCACCTCAACGATGAACTTCCGACTCGACACAAGGACTTTGCGGATCAGCAACGACACATGTCTAAGTCCCGGGGCGTCAAATGAATTCCAAATTCCATGGAAAAACATATTTTCTCCCTTCTCGAAATCAAGGAGGAGCGGAAGCGAAACAGAGCGGTGATACGAATCTCTGGACTCTAGGCCTAGGCGTTCCGCGGACGACGAGCGCTTTCACCGATCATCAAAACGATCTCTACATCTTGACCTCGCCTAAAACTTTTTCGTAGCTGTCGTCAAAGAACGTGACTTCTCACCTTGATCCTGTCAGATTACAGTCGACCCCACGGTCAACTCCGGAATTGATCCGAGCGGAGGCTCGCTTCGACCGAGCGTGGAATGCGGAGACGGCTGAGATATCTTTCAAAGATCGTGAGAGCGGGGCAGGGCAGCGAAACGAGCCCTCCGGGTGAACTCACAGTCATCACGCGTCCAAGCACTCGGGTCTTTGTGAGAAGCATCCCCTAGACCACGAGCTGAAAGGGGTCCAAGGCGGCGTAATGAAACGAAACTCGAAGGCCGCACATAGAGGGACGATCGCAAACCTGCAGGACCAACAACTTGACTTTCATCTCGTTCGTGCCAAGATGTTTCGAGGCGAGCTCATCAGGTAGCAGAGCCCTTAGGCGAACGACTCGCCTCGGTCAACCACAGCGGACGCGCCCATGATAGTGGCGAGATCGAATCGCCAGAACGAGCGTCACGTTTCTGGGAGCTCGCGCTTTCCTCTCTGATCCTCACCCGTAGCCCCTCAAATACTCTCGGCACGGGATTCGCGCGAGCGTCAGTAGGACCCCCCCTGGTTCATGCGCCCTTCGGGGACCGCTCCAAGGAATCGATCTCGAGTGTCATTTCATCCGCCAGTGATCTCTCAAGCCCATATTCGAATCTTTTCTTCGGGTTGTGAGAATTGAATGACTTCGAGTGTACTATGAGAAGTCCAACATTTTCTGATACACTGCTGGATAAGTCGCGTCTACGCCGCTATTATGCGATCCGGATGATATATACCCGCCTTGAGAAAGAGAGCAAAGAATGCGGCAAGGTGGACAGACGGTACCGTACGAAATGAGTCCTGAGTCTCCGCACAGACCTCGCGGTCGGGAGAGCCATCAGAGCTCGTTCCTCAATCAGCCCCCCCTTCACACGGAAAATCTTGTCGCACCTCACGCCAGGCCGATGCTACGTTCCTCGATCCCTGGTTCAGAGAAGAGACTTCGCGGGAGCGTGAAAGAAGAGCCAAACGTCCACCATTAGCGTGAAATATTTTATTCTGCTCGGCTCAGAGGAATAGGGGGAATGGGATCCGAGACAGCTCTACGCCGAAGTCCCTGCCGGAAGCTCGCGAAAGCGTCATTGAAGTTTTATCGACCTCTACTCCTCCTCCTCCTCTTCTTCTTCTTCCTCCTCTTCTTCCTCAGCCTGCGAAAATGCGAGAAATTAATATCGAAAAACGATACCATAACGGAGCCATGACATCCCTCGGGAGACGATTCATCGAAATTTACCTCTTCCTCCTCCTCCTCAGCTGCTTCCTCCTCTTCAGGTTCGGGCTCGGGCGCGGGCTTAGACGAGGGGATGTCGAATTCCTCCGGGGGCTTGAAAACAGGTACAGGTATATCATCGTCGTCGTCGTCGATTTCAGCTCGAGTTCTGTCGTACGACTGCTTGTTCTTGGGATTCTCCGGATCCCACTTGGGTAGTTCTTTGGGACCTTCCCGCTCCTTGAAAGCCATCATCTTCTCCTCCCAAAACTTCTCTTGATCAGCATCACCGGCGGCTTCGAAACCACCCGAGAAGAGCTCCTTCTTATCTTCAAAGGTTCTCCTGTCGGTCCTCCTCTCGTATTTGGAGGCAACTTGAATCTTGGGCTGATAAAGGGAATAGAGCATTAGCAGGAATACTCGGAGAGCACCAGTACCAGAGGCAATCCCGCGTGATCTCTTCTCCTTTTGTTGTCGTCGGTGTCTTCATGATCATTGCCCTCAATCAAGAGCGGTCGAGCTACTCACCGGATGTTTTCCAGAGAGAGCCTCAGGGTCCAAACCCTTCTTGAGAGCCTTGTTTCTGTTGATCTGGCGCTGACGTTCAGCGAGCTCCTTCAGCTGTTGTCATGGAGAGCGAGGATCAGTACAGTATTGTGGTAGAGAGCTTGGACTTCGCTATATATTGATGATGAAGCGAGAGAGCGGTGAGAGGATCTTACATCGTAGTCCTGGCGCTTCTGACGCTCTTCCAGATCGTACTTGTCGGACTCGAGGGTCACGATGCGCTCCCAGAGCTCCTTGGCCTTGTTCTTGAGGTCATCAACGGAGAGACCCTCGATGGCGAGTGGGGCCACTCGCATGGACAGGATGGTCGTCTTGTCTTCCTCGAGCTGCTCCTTGGTCTTACCCATTTCACCTCGAGCGTGCATGATGTTGGCGAACTTGTCCAAGTTGGAGGTTCCGAGAGCATTACCCATGTCCATGGCTTCCTTCTTGGTGATCGAGAAGTTGGGCTTCACAGGCTCCATCTCCCTCTTATCCTTGGCCGCCTGCATTGCTTGACGCTTCTTCTCGGCCTCTTCGAGACGCTTGCGCTTAGCCTCGGCCTCCCTGAGCTTCTTCTCCTCGACCTCTGCACGAGAAAGAAATAATCAACGCAGATCTGCGAGGGAACTTTCAGTCCCGATGAAAATGAGCAAGGATATACATATGTAGGGGAAAACTCAAGGGACATCAGCCCGGAGAAGAACTTCCGCTACTTACCGCGGGATCGAGCCTCCTCGGCTTTCCTCTTGTACTCCATCATCGCCTTCTCTTGTTGTTCGCGAGCGGCCCTCCTCTTCGCTTGGCGTTCCTTCAGCTTGCGAAGATCTTCGTCCTCCTTAGCACGCTGAGCTTTGCGCTGCTCGATGTACTCGCGCCACATCTCCTCCTCCTCTTCCTTCTTCTTCCTCAGCTTCTCCTGAGATTTCCGAAGAAAAAAGTTCAGAGAAGAATCCTCTCCCCTACGAAGTTACTCTGCTTCGCATCGATCCCGACGATGGACTCACCTCCATCATCATCTCCGCTTCAGACATGGTTTTGGATTCCGGTCGGACGGACGCGCGACGACCACTAGATACGGCAAGAAAGAGATTATGTGAGACTTTGATTTTGCTCCCCGCACGAAAGAACCTCTCGGCGTAAGTTCCCCACGCATTCGGGAAATCTCAACAGGCACGACGTCCCGAGCTTATGTTGAGTCTAGAAAATTATTGACCCGTCCGGAAGCCGATTTCTTTGTAATTATTGCAGAAGCAGGAGTCTACGCTCGAAAATTTATGGAACTCATCGCTATGGTAGACCGCTCGATTGGTGACTGGTGACTGACATCTCATTTACAAGAGCAGTCGCTATCCGCGGAATTCGGCAAGCAAAAATCTCAATTGAATGACGCCACCCACTCGACGACGTGACCACGTATAAAAATGAACCGATGCCTCCTCTGCCTCCCTCCGCGACGCTTATGATGACAAATCGGTTGTCGTCGAGGCCTGCACGCACGTGTCGCTATTGAATTCGCCGAGGACGATTGTAATTATTCGGAAGGATCCACGCATCGAACTACAGCTCTAGAATTGATTTTCTGCGATTGGTGATCTGCAATCCCATCGACAGGATATTTCGCAGCTGATCAATTTATCGCGCGATTCGCCCTCTAAATCGATGAATGAATTGAATCGCCTTGAATCGGAGAGTCGACTACAGCGAGCTCGGGGCAAGCTTTTTCATATGATTTTCTCCCCTATCCAGGCCATGAACACTGACCGTCGCGATGGGCCCGTCTCGCTCTAACTGTCGGTGTGCCCACCTTAGTTGCGGTAATCTATTCTGGTCTCTCTGCAAACACCGGCTCAGTCGACGAGAAATAGCGAGCGAGTGCCTCCGGAAAGGCCAATCGGTCGAGAGCAAGGTGAAACAAAGGTTGCAAATCGCGACGGTTTTTTAGTGCACAGCACAAAAACCCACTCTTCACCGATTGAAATGTGGGACTTCTTTCTCGCAGAGAACGGATTTTTTTGCGAGATGTCTCAACGCATCTCCGGAACGATCAATCTGCTCTACACTTTGTCTATTTGGGCTCCCGACTTCTCTGAAGCTCAATTATCCTGCTTTGGGTCAGCGGCGGATTTTTGCCAGGCGAGGAAAATTCTGAGGGATCGACATTTCGATTAGCGCGGGAGCTGTAGCGTTAGACGGTCTATCACGTGCAAGCTACGATTAGTTTGAGCGATCTTATTCGGCTCTGAAGCATACAGAGTATCCGACTTTCAAGGTACACGTGTGCTTGCTTCCATGCTCTGTGGCGTGGCCGGCAGCAAGATTATTACTGATCCGGATCGAAGCTCCGAGTTCAGCTTCGGTACACGACCACAAAAGTCAAAAAATGGTTGCGGAATCGCAGAAGAAAAAATCAAATCTGACGGGTAGACACGGACAGACAGATAGAGGTAGATTTCGATATGACTGTTTCCGGGGCTCTTCCGCAAGGTCGTTCGTCTGTATGCCTCGACCCGATAGGGTTTCAAAACGCTAACAATATTTCGCGTACCTGTCGTAATCGGACATAGCGAAGGCCTCGCTGCAAAACAGGAGCTTAGAAAATTGAAGATATCGGGAACGATACGATGAGGATGTAAGTAAGAGTGATAATACGAATTAGGACGGGGGAAACGGAACCAGACTTTGTTACTGAGAACGTGGAAATGAGCGCGATGAGGGAGGATAATGGGATGACCATTTGCTTCATGTCGACACATAGGATTGAGCAGAAATCACGAAGTCCCTCTAGAGGTCGCAAGCAATGAACGTTTGAATGCCATCGAGAATCTCCGTATGGGAGCGGCTCTCCCAGGAAGATTCATCTCGGCTCTCGACTCCTTCCCAGAATCGCTTCTATTCACAAATCTGACTGTTTTGAACCGGGAACACTCGTTGATGGATTTGGGGGGATCTGCCAATTCCTCCGAAGTCTTATCGGAAGAAGTTTCCAACCATTTCGTTTGAGCTGGCCAGATTCCTCAAAAAGTGAGGCCCCGGCTTGCGCGAGGAGAATGAAAGTTCCGATTATGCTCGGACACGGTCTCGATTCCACCTTGACGACGAAGGCGTCTTGGGCACTCCGATCGATCGAGTATTTCCAAAAAAACTCTCCAATATGGATGAGAGGCGACACTTTCACATTTTTGCAATGGAGCACATTCACTCGTGAACGAGGGAAGAAAGTATTCAAGAACAATCATTAGTAGATAGATGTCGATGAAACAAACCTACCGGACGAACAAGCAGCAAGTGCCTCGAACCTGCGAGCAGGGAGATTCACCTGGTTTTAAGCCAGGGTTCGGAGAGAGGGTTTGAGAGAGCTACTCTGGTCGCTGAAGACAACATGCCTGCCTAGAGGAATACGGTCCAGATGGTGGACAAACCGACAGACGCTTCCTCAAGGCGAGTGGTCGAGCCGACCACAGGAAGAGGCACGACAGGTTCCCGAAAGACAAGTGGTCGCTAACGTAGGTAATCATTGTCGGTCGCCGGACATCCTTCTCGCTTCGTACCGCCACTAACTCTCCTTCTTGAAAAATATCGGCTCCCAATTATTTTTCGGGTCGACAGACTGCGGCTCGAAATGATCAAGGGAGCATCTTCGGGCAATAGCTGCGTCCGCCCCGACTCGCGATGAAACTCGATAAGCTCCAAAGGGACGAAGTTCACCACATTCTTCATCGCAACCGTATCGAGCCCGAGTTGAGGTGACAGAATCATGCAGAATGGGTCCCCGCTCGCTTGAAATGTTCTCTTGCTGAGTTGGTCGCCGGTCTGGCTGGCTGGCCCGCTCGTTTGTTTGGGAAGAGCGAGCGGTCCCATATTCTGATGCTATAGTCTGGCGGAATGCTGCAGGTAAGGAACCTGTCGGGAGTCGCTAACAAAGAAGGAGAGATGCCGAGCACAGACCAAGCCCACAACACGCTAGAGCTTTGTACTGAACGGGCGAATGTCGGAAAATCTTCGAAATATCCAGCACCTCTATCGACTCTGATATTTCAGGAATAAGGGTGCGAGCGAGAACGATTACGGCTATGATTCGTTCGCGTGGGACTGTCGTTCTGCTTCAGATACCTAGTATAATGTCACCGCTGTTTATCGTTTTAAGTTCTTTGTTTCTGCACTCCGACCTGATCTATCAAGGCCATCGAACAAATCGAGCACCCGGCAACAATGATGATTCTGCGAATTGATTCGGAACATTAGAGATGATACTGTCAAGCCCGACTCCGGGCGAGAAGAGCGGAAAGTATTACTCATCTGGAAACTGAATGCTTCAAGTTTTGCCTCTCGTCACGTTTTTGCTGCGGTGGTTTTTGTGATCATTGGTCAACGCGAGAAGAAAAATACCCGTGACGCCCACGAAATCAGCGTAAGCCTCTTGCACTCCAGATCTGCGGAAGATTCCACTCACGACACAGGTATCTGCTGGCTGGTTTTCCTGTTCCTTCTCGATACAAGATGGAAGTGAAAGAGAACGGAACGACGGCTCCTCATCAGCGTTGTTTGGTTTACACAGTATTGTGATATCTTAATTATATCAATGAGTGGGATTCGATGGCTGAGCCTGCGGAAACAGATAGCGTGGAAAATAATTGACACGGACGAAACCACTTTGTACACTCAGATCTTCAAAGCTTCATCGACCCTCCCATACCCAAGTCCGAGGGAACGGTTGCGGAACGCTGTTGGGGGTTCCTCTAGTCGGTAGTCGATTGTATCCGAAGATCATGTATGTCTCGGGCTCATTTTGTTCCCTACGAACCCTTCCGCGACACACCCTGTCAATGTCTTGGCTTCCGCAGACTTCCAAACAGCTCGGATTGACAAGGGACACGGGCATTCATCGACCGCCCGATATTCCCGCAAAAACGATCCGTGAGGATACGGACACGATAAGAATTTTGAAGGCTCGGGAGGCGCGCGAGCCCCGATGCCAGTCAGCTGTCGACAATCACGTCGCGTGTTGTCACGAGCAAGGCGTTAGCGGTGGAATGGAAACTCGAGGATGAGCAGGCGGGAGTCTCAAGAATCGCTAAAAAGGATGCGACCGCGTGTTTTGGCCGGTTGAGATCAGCTAAACGGGAAAGCAACGTTTCTGGAAGTCTCTGAAAGAGAGCCGTCTCACTGTCTCTGCTCGCGAATAGGGACCAGAGGAATCCTGTAACCCCCATCCCCGTCCTTCCCCAGATAAGAGAAGTCTCCGCAAATTCTCTCGCCCTTGAGCCCTAGATCTTTCGTTCATATCTCTCTCCATCTCATTTTTTCCTCTTCTGCTCTTTCACTTCTGTTTCAGGGAAGCTTCTGCCTCATGTCTGGGTTGAACTAGTTTTTAGTTGGCTCCGCTGCTGCAGCCGCCCGCGTCCTCGACTCCGTGGAGCCTCTATGGAAGAAATGAAAGAAACCGTGCAGCCAACCAGTGCGAAAGTGAAGGAGACTTCTTCTTCGCGCTTGACTTTAATGAAAACGCCCTCAAGTCGTTGCTGGCACCAATGCCACTTGCAGCAGCAGCAGCAGCACCACCGACCGACACCCCCGCAAGTGAGGCTTTCCTCGCGGCCGACCCCGGGCCTCAACCGTCCTCCCATGTCGTGCGGAGGCATCCTGGAGGAGAGAGCGGAGAGGAGCCTCCGGCACTCACACGGGCGAGCGGACGGGCGGGCAGTCAGTCACATTTAGGTCGGTCGTCCTATTTTTGCTGCTGGTTTTGAGGGTTGTGTTGTTCCTTCAGTTCCCCACCTCCCTTGCTCGGGTGCTTTCTCCGACTTTGTTCCATTCGGGAGCTTTTATTCTACAAGGTCATTTGCGTGCCAACCCCTGATGCCTGTCTGTGACTCATCGGATGTCTTCTTCTCCTCCAAACCAAGGCATGAGGCATCCTCCGCGCTTGCACTCGGAAAAGCGACTTCCGTGATCGAAAATTTTCATTTGGAAACGAATCAGGTCAACTCTCGGAATCCTGACAGCAGATGACGTTCCCCGTGTATCGGACGAAATCAAGGCCACTTTTTCTCCCCCTTCTGAGCGGGGCAGGCGGGTTGGGCATATCACTCCGGGGAGAGGAACATTTCAAAGTCATCTCCAGCAGTTAGAGAGGTGAAGCACCTCCTATCGTTCTGTGACCGGCTCAGAGCATTTCGGGCAAGCCTTTCGGCTGTGCGGCACTTCTCTTGCACTTGTACGCTCCGCGTTGTAAACAACAACTGGTGGACGTAAGATAACAGCAGCTAGCCGGTGAGTCGGAAGTAGTGCTCCGGTACTCGAACGATGATTCGAAGCTAAAAGGCCTTTCGCGTCCCCCTGCTCCTCGGTGAGCAAGGATAGGGGAGAGCACCTCGCTGGGGCATGCGGAAAAAAAGAGTAGAGAAGACGATTTGATGCGTTTGGAGATCTTCTAGCCGATTTAACCGCCGGATGGCTCCTACTCCTGCGTCTTTTACTCCCTTCCGCTTCGATACCCCGACTTATGCCGCTCTCCACGCACCCAGCTGTATCATCCTGGAAAGCGAGGAATGAATCGGAGAGAAAGATTGAAAACATCGAGAGTGGCGGGGCGTCTCGCCACCCACGATGACGTAAGGCACCTGCACCGTAGGCGAAGACACGAAACCGATTTTCTGGCTCTCGGGAACAACGCAGAGGAGCCTGCGCGAGAGAGAAGAGCGGGAGGCTCGTGAGCAACCTCGAGGAGGGAGAATCACGAGAGCGATTATCGAGTGAATTGATGGAAGCAAAATTGTCGAATTTGAGGGATCGATCAGGAAGAATGAGGCTGTTGGAAGAGCTGCAGAAGTAAGCACCGACATTGAAACATATCGTGCCGGGTGAGAGGCGAGGGTCGAAGGTCGACAACACTTCCAACATTAGGCTCCCCGAAGAGTGGGAAATATCTAACCCGCTCCCAAGACCGTTCCTGACTGATGGCAGTGATGCCGTGCCCCATCCGCTCACGCTCCACCTAGCACACCGGGCAACGAGGGAAAAATTCCGAAAAGAGCTTGAGAGGTGTAGAGAGACTTGAGAGGAAAAACGAAACGGGAGGATGTTGCTGCTCAATGGATGTGATTCGGGATCGGGCAGCAGGAAGCTGAAGAGAAAAATTGCGAGCTCCAAGTGCGATCTTCTACGAAGCTGACCTTTCCCTTTCAGACTCAAGAAAGCGGAGAGCGCGGCGGAAGCGGGGGTATATGTAGTAGCGATACGGTGGGACAAAGGAAGGAAAAATTGGCTAAAAGGGAAAAGAGGTCGACCTCGGAGAAATTGAAGAGACGAGAGACAAGTCGGAAGAAGAGTCGGAGAATAGAGACGAGGATGGAGGAAGACCGATAGAGACCAGGCTTTCAATGAGGGTGAGTGAGTTGAGAGAAAGGGCGAGAAGCGGAGATAGGGAGAAGCAATGCGATGGTCCCACATTTCTCGATGTCACCACGATACAGGCAAACATCCCCACGTCGTCGAGCGGCACCTAACAATGATTCCTACCTTCCGATACCAGGACTTTCAATGAGAGGAACTCTTCCCAGTTTCTCCGAGTGAGATCCATCTCGCAAATCGTGCGGTACTTATATCTCGGTGGATCGTGAGCGGAGATGGAGAGCTCAGGCAGAGGTTCTCTCATCGCAGCCCGAAAGAGAAGGAGAGATTCGGCGAGATACTGCACAACAAAAAAACTCCCTAATGCAGAACATTTCGGCAGTGCATAGAATAATGCACTGCCGTGTGGAGAGCGATTACCGAGGCAGCAGTCGGACCGTAGGCGGAGATTTTGCTCCCGAGCAAACGAATCATTGTCGCACAGCGTTTTTGTGGCCCATAAGCACTTCCACGGTTCACGGAATTCGTTCAGTCGACTCGGAACATCGGAAAATGTTCCCCGGGAAGCCGAAGAAATATGACGTCTGCGATGCGATTCGGGTTGGTGTGCTCTGAGCGAGCTCGAGGCCCGGGACGATCTGGGAGCTTGGAGACTAGGCGGAGTATTCGGCTATCGGGCGTTTATGCTCGAAGCGAGTGATGCTCGGACGCAATGAAAATCAGGAAACCAGTCAGAGGTTCTACAGCAAAAACGGGATGAATGATGTTCTGGTGACGGAGATCATCACGAGGGCGACACGCCGGATCGAATGAATACATGAATGGATGAATAATCGAATTAATGAACGGACGGACGGACGGACGGACGAATATCTTCCTCGGATATAGAGTCTACAGCAACGGCTGGCAGCAAGCCGGAAAACCGGTGGTCGATCAGATGCATGGACGAACGGACGGATGATCGAGGCCCTTTTTATTCATAGATTCCACCCGTCATCCGACATCTTATTAATCACTCGCTCTTTCCGCTTTTCTGCACCATTAGATCGGTCGATATTATTCCTCAAAGAAGGTACATACAGTAGGAATGGGGAAGCCCGTCGGCCTATGAAGCTTCGTGGCGACTGGGCTTTTGTTGTCGTCGAGCGACCCGCAGTTCTGCGGTGGGTCACTTGTCGGTGTCTGGGTCATGAAGGGACCGTATTTATTAATCGTCGAGATGATTCTCGTCTCGGAACACTCAGTCAGGGGCAACCTTTCCTTCTTGAGCTCCGTGTGACTGAAATCTGCCGAGCCTGAGGGAAACATTTGCTGCACGAGAATGCGTTAATTTACGGCACATTCCAGGACCACCTCGACCTCCGCGACGCCCTCGCTCAGCCCATATTCAAATCTCCATCAGCATTTTTCGGGGACCGCGGTTTGTTCGTGCTCTTGCGATGGTCAGTGGGCACTTGGTTTGGACTCGCTGGGATCGACCGAAGTAAGACACTGGTCAGATTTCATTTTTTCCCGTCCGATTGGGATGAATCCCCGCGATCGCGCTTACGGAATCGGGCACTATCGTCTCCTGAGTATGTAGCCCGTGTCCCAAGCAGATCGGTCCGCGGCCCGACAGGCGCTTTTCCTCCTTCAAGTCGCTCGCCGTCTCCGAGCGAACCATCACGTCCTCGCGTCCCGAACGTAGCTTTCAGAGCCATGCGGACGGGAACAACACCAGCATAGATGGCATTCTGCTACAAAAATAGGACGTTCCTCGCTATCCCGTCGATCCGTGATGCAATTCCCCTCCATCGGAGATTCTACCCATTCGGGTATTCATTTCCACGTGCCGACCGATTTCGGTTTTTTCTCCGGGTAATCCGGGCTCCGCTCCGAGAGTATTCTTCTTTCCAGGACCTAGCAGCCCATGATGCTCAATACCCTCAACGCTGTCAGATTTGGTCCTGCCTCCACTGTCGATAAATCTGAGCTCAGCGTGACGAATCTTGACTATTGGGGAGATTTCCTTCCGGCGTTCCGGGTGCCGTTGGCGATTCAAGCCGGAGCTTGATTGAAGTGCCGAGTAGGACCTATATCAGGGCGAGGAGGCGACGATCATTCGAGTTTCCGGTCGATGGTTTTATTTGCGCATATACAGAAGCTATTTCGTTTCTGTCAAGATACGTGAACCATGCTTTAAATAGGAGAACATTCAATATGTGGTGTCATGACTCGATTCAATAGAACCGTGGTGGGCGTATAACAGTTTGAATATGGAAAACGCTTCATGAGTTCCTTGGTCTAACCAAGATGGACCTCTTATCGGGATATTCACAAAGATGGAGGAACATTCTTATTGAACACTTCCTTGCGCAGCACTTCTCTGCAAATTGATCCAACGTCAGTGCTACTCCTGCAATAGGAACAGAATCGTAACTTTTGGTGAGTAAGCTCTCCCAGGGCCGGAGCTCAGATGCAGGATCGATTCTCGCCGTGGGTATCGAAAGAACTCACGATCACTTCTCGAGGTGGCGATCGGAGGGTAAGCACAAGCTTGTTCCATAGCGGCGTAGAAATCATCCACGTTACAAACTTTAAACGTGGGGAGGGCTTCAGTGGGCGACAAGTGGATTCCCAAGAGGCACAGAACGGAGAGGGCGATTCCCGGCAGATACAAAAATGTAGCCATCTGCGAGACCAGGGTGAACTAAATTGTTGATTTTCTCATGTCCTAGAAGGCTCATCCCGTAGCCTCCCATACTTACTTCGGATGGAGTCAATGATAAATCAGCGTTCAACTGAATCCAGCGGGGGGTTGAAACTTTCCGAGTAGTTGTCCTGAAATTTGTATTCAGACATCAATCCACAGTACGAGCACCGATCCGTGGGGTGCTTCCGTCTATTCGATCTGTTTCGTTTTCGGATCAGGCTCAATCAGAACCATGATCAGGTGCTCTTTGGAACAAGTTTCTTCGCTAAAAACCGGGACGAACGCCACGACGCGAATCGCGCGGATAAAGAATGTTGTTCTCGGGGTGACAATGACGCAGAGAACTTCCGTACACGTCAATGTCGCGTGGGAGAGATAACCGCGCTTCCTCAAAAGCACACATTGGGCATAGGGAGAGGCATCGAAGACTTCTGGGACCGCAGACCTGCTTCGCATGATTCCAGGAATTTCTCAACTGCTTCCTCCACCGATTCCCCGTGGCTCGGATATTGGGCTGCAGTCCGCAGAATCCGAGTCCAATTAGAAAGCCAAATGATGGCGAAATTGATCGAAGGAAAATAAATACCAGTTTCACACGGGCGACATTATGTCGGTTTCACAGAATCTTCGCCGGGTCACGAAACAATCGAATCCATCAATGATGTCAATGTAATGTTAATGCGTTCGGAAAGCAAACCGTCCGAGCAGGAACTAGGCTCAACGGTCATTGAAGAAATCATGCGGGGAAGGTCGAGGTTCGACTCATTCGGAGTTCCTGCCGTTCACTCTCCGGTGGCGGAGGTCTGATGACAGACGTCAAGTACTCACCTCGAATGACGAGTCGAAAGTGCGTTGTCAGTCTTGCTAGGTGCTTGTCTTTTATACTCGGGCGTCAGGGTCGACACCTTGGAGCTCCATGGCGGCTCTAGTGCTCTCGAACATGCGGGGTGTCGAGGATCGCGTTGCGTAATTTTCATTTCGTGAGCTGATCAAAAAACTTGGAGCTCAGTGGGACCGCTTCAGCTCGAGTCATTCGCGCACATGAAGTCCGAATTGAATCTTCCATATAAGCGAACCCACTAATCCCTTTGACGCTATCTCATTCATTGCCCCGACTGACAATTGTGAGAAGAATCTCTCTCAGGTCCCAATACGTGTTATTGTTTGACGTCCCACCTAGCCAGAGCCCAACGCTTTCCCTCGCTCATGTGTCCAGTCAAGCTCCAAACACTCGTATCGCTGGGCTGAGCGTTGCTTTCGAATCCGTTCATCCTTGGGAGAACGACGATCTCATCTCGTTGACCGAGACCTTCTCCAGACGTTTCTTTTATCACCGACTCAATGCCAGAAAGGGGAAGCACAACGGCGTTACGTAAAATATCTTAAGTAACCCGAGGTGCAGAGAAGAAAGCGCTTGCTGAAAACTGATGATGATTGACTAAGATCTTAACTTATACACAGGAATTCTCTGGAGTCGTGCTGTGCTCTCTACCGAGCTCATTCAAACTCCGAACCCTTGAAGGGCGGCGAATCGGAACTCACAGCGAGAATTCACGCTTCGACTTGTTGCCCCGAATCATTATTCATTGCACTCGAGGATACATCGCTTCCGGACTGGGACAGGGAAGCACCCGAACGTCGGATCGCTTCCCAGCTTCCGGTCGCTCCTCTCGGAGATATCTTCGTTCGATGCTGGTCTCTTCATAGTCGTCGGAATCCGAATCGACACTCGGACGACCCGCAGCTCAACAACCTTTAGGAAAGAGCCGATCTGCTTCCATCGAGTCGATCTCGAATGCGGGTCGCAGCTCACACATTATGGGCCGCTCTTAATGGACGGCATGGCGCGCGTCGCTCTACTTTTCTCTCTCGCATGATGAATGTCGCTTGACGCCCGTGAAGAAATCAAGCGAGATTGGATGAACTTCCCTTTCTGGATCATTCGGGGATTAAATACCGACATGAAAACCCCATGAATATGTCCTCCGGCCGGAGGATCAACTCAATCATCCACGGCCGGGGTCTTTATTCAAAGGGTCTTTATTCAAACATCATCTAGGGAGAAAAACTCCGAAACTTCGATCATCAAAAGAGGAGAAAAACTTCGTATATTCTATACAGTGGAGTACCTCCTCTATTTAGTTGTTTCATTCTAGCAGAACGATTCCAGATGCTCACTTGATGTTGAGAGCACCACAAAACGTGCTCCTTTGCATCGTCGCGCGTATCTCCGTTGTTCTTTCCGCGTGTTTGTTTTTTATTCAGACCTTAAATGAGCTGGAGTCGTGGTTTGTGCAACTTCGCGTAAGCTCGTTATCAGCAACATGACCGCGTCGGCCGCATTATTTTGCCGTCGTTGATTAATGGGGAACGTTCCGCTGACGCGACAGGTCTGTGAGGACGATGCGGTTGCTCGTCCGAGCTTATTGCGGTTCAAGACACCGTACAACCCTCAGCTCTCGGCTGATCTCGACAGAAATAGAGGGAAGCGGAACGTCCATAGAGGAGATCCGGTTCGGGGGTCCGAAGAGTAGCATCTCGGTACGAGACACAGACCTGGTATGATTTTTAGAGGCGCCGTGAACGCGGCAGTTATAGGATACCCAATAAGCCACACTCCCAGACGAGATACTCGTTGCTATTTGAAATAAACGACCCGGAGCAAGAGAGACGGATCACAACGTTGTCGACGTGTTGATGTAAGGAAGAGCGTTTAAATGCGTACAGGGGAGCTCGTGCCAAAAAAACATATTCGGTGACGAGATTTTCGAACATGCTCGGTCGTGGAGAGGGGTGCTCACGTCTGCGTCTCCCGGAACGTGATTCAGCACCCCGGCGCAGTGGAGCCCGTCAAGCACGGAGCATCCAACCGGCCGAGCAGGAGGCTTTATAGACGCACCGAGTATACACGATCTCGTACGGGCGTCATGGAACGAGCGTTTGCGAAACCTTTCCGTTTCTCTTCGCGGTTTAGCTGTCGGCGGTGCGTTCCGTAGTCAAACAGACCGAAACGTGCAGTGCCCAACACCTGTCAGAATGATGGGTCCCTTCATGAGGATTTCTGCTAATTTAGAGGTAAATTATGACGATGATGCAAAGTGACTATAACCGCCCATTCTAATACAGTAGCTTACCTTCGCTGTCCGTCGCGTGAGGTCGAATGGTTTTTTTTCAGGCGTGACGCGACTCGAGGGAATGAGCACACCAACCCTTTGGACAGATAGAGGCTCTTTGATAACGTTGACTCGGAGATGGAGGAAAAAATATGGCATCAACATTACACGCTGATCCATCCTCTTCGGATGGCTTCCGTTTTTTAATCTCGGTCACGTCGATCGCGAGTTCAGGGGCTCATCGTGTGTCTCGCGAAAACCAAATATAGGAGAATAGAAGACGGCAAATGTGTTTGGCGAGAATTTCGGAAATGACTAGCTTGGCCTCAAAAAGTTCTTGTGGCAGCTGATTCTGATTTTCACGCCTGATTCTCGGGCTATCTGAGCGTTGCGAGTATCGAGCTGAGTTTGTATGAGAGAATGCCACTCAGGGACGAATGGTCCATCCATCCATCCACCCATCCATCAACATATGTACATCATACATACATCATACATACATCATACATACATATGTACATACATAAATACATACATCATACATACATACATACATACATACATACATGCATACATGCATACATACATACATACATACATACATACATACATACATACATACATACATACATACATACATACATACATACATACATACATACATACATACATACATACATACATACATACATACATACATACATACATACATACATACATACATACATACATACGTGCGAGGTGACCGCACAAGCTCTGATGCGGTGCTACCCGGGTTTAGTCGTGCACGGGGAAGCGGCGCTTTGATGCGCACGAATGATTTTATCTCTAAGGACCCCGATGCTCTCCCGAGTGGATTCAGGTCGACTGGTTGAATCGATGGTTCTTCATAATAGGACGCTGAAGACACTGCATTTTTATTCTTTAAGGACTTAAGGACTTATTGCAGGATGAATGGATATCGATCCCAGAAATCTTTTTGAATCATGTCACAGTTAAGTTTCCTCAATTCGGTTGACGTCGGCTTGAGTTTCCTCATAAGAGGACTGACGGTCGTCCCTTCCACCTCGTTGATTTCTTTCGGGACGCGAATGATGCATGTTCCTGTGAATAAATCCCTGGATGATTGATGGCTCCGACATCACAGATCATCTCGATTTGGTGAATCCTCTGACCCTTTCTGAAGAGAGCGTCCTCATTGTTGTAGTTACGCTGGAATTCTTTGAAGAGAATCTCGTTTTTCTCGGAACTGACGGTACCTCGGAGGCGTTTCTCAGCTTGTGTCGGGGTAAGTCCACCCTCCTGAACCAAAGCCCAGAAAGCTGTATTGTATAGATTGTTGATGTGACAGTCTGCTTGCCGCCAAGATAGGTAGTCTCTGGGAACGAGAGAACAAATTAAGACCGAATTTACTCTCTAGCCAGGAACACCGTTTTCGGACAAAATATCTCATCAGTGGTTCTAATCCGGGATGCAGGGACGCTTGAGGTACTTGCCTGAGGTTCTCGTCAGAGGGATACAACACGACGCGGGCGTCGAACGCTGGCGGGTAAGTCATATTCTTCTCGGGGAAAAACTCCGAGAAATAAAATACGTACGATGAAGCGAATAAAGAGGCGATGTTCGTCATGAGTTTCGAAGCTCTACGCTTGTAGACCTCTGCGCTCTTGCGGAACACGAAAGAATACTCGTCGCTTTGACCGTACGCGATGGCGATTTCGCTAAACTCATCCATGACGCTTTCAGCACAACGAGACATGAGGTTCAATCCCTGCAAAGGGCAAAAGATTATGTCCTGAGCTCGCCTTTCATTTCTCCGGTACAACGCCGATCCGGCTCTCGTCAGAATCCGTCTTCGACCCCCCTGCGGATTTGAGAAGTCATGTTCTCAAGGCACAACTCACTCGTGAATCGTTGGGTTTCTTGAAGTTGTGAGTCTGCGTGAATTTGTGGAAGCCCTTGCCATCCAATCTGACCACGATATATGTGTTCGGTAGCACCGAATCTATGTGTTCGAAGTTCCGTACGTAATCGAATTTGCTCTTGGCCATCGAGCCGGTCGTGCAAAAGAGGGCTCTTCGGAATGTTGAATCGACCACCCAAAAGGCATTCACCATGCGCTGGAAGAAATTCCAAAATCCCGAGATTGGAATAGCTGTCAAATGGAGAGGTCCGATACTCTCTCTGTTCGCGCACTCCACGTGAGCGTGAGCAGGTGAAGAGAGCGATTACCATTACTGGCTGAGGCGTTCCGCGGTATCATACAGGATGTATCCACTGGACGTTCGTCACCCGCATATTTCACTATCGAACGAAGACAGGAAGTTTCAACGATTTTTGCACGATGGATTGCGCCGGAACAGATAGGTTTTCCAATTATAACATTCTACCGCGAAGCAATATGGCTGACTGCCGGTTCGCCCACCACTGGGTTTACTTGGCGCGGAATTCAAATTTATCGGTACATGACAACTCGATGCCGGGCGAATCGATGCCGGACAACTCGATGCTCTTCACCGACAAATAGAGTCGTTGTTTAGGGGGAACAACAACACCGCCTTGAGAAGTTCTCTGCTTTGTCATTCAGCACAATCCTCCGTGACAATCGATGCTTGATACGAGGGGGGAGGAGCTCGAGAGAGCAGAGGCGAGAGGAACCGAAGCGCTTCTCATACACAGCTGAATACTCCGCGCGGGGTAGGGTTCTCATCCGCGGAATCGTTTTCGTGAGCCTCCATCCTCTGATGATGTGGATGGAAGTCCTATGATATCTGGACAGGATTCTTTCGAGACTTCATGCTCTGAGGAAAATGGAATTCCTATGATATTTGGACTGGATTCTCGTGAGCCTCTATTCTCTGAGGATGTGGATGGAAGTGTTATGATATTTGGACTAGATTCCCGAGTGCCTCCATGCTCTGAGGACGTAGATGGAGGTTCTATGATATTTGGACCGAATTCTCGAGAGCCTCCATCCTCTAGGGATGTGGATGGAAGTCCTATGATATTTAGACCGAATTCTCTCAAGGCTTGATGCTCTAAGGATATCCTGATTTTTTTATAAGGAGGAACGGAAAAATGACGGGACACTGACATGAAAAGCCATGCAAAATGCAACGACAGCGAGCGAAACGCGCATATATGATAAATTACGAGCTCAGCGCCCTTGAGCCGCAGCGACGCGTCGCGACGCGGTAATTCTCTCTATTCACAATCAACCACCAAATCAGGATGACCGCCCGTGCTGACAAAAAAAAACATAATAGTTCTGTGAAGCAATGAAATTATCCAGTTCATGTCTTCCCGATCCGGCGTTTAACTTGAATAACTATGCCGAGCAGAGAGTCGAACTCCGAATATTGATATCTATCGAGCGTACACCAAATATGTTGTCCCTAGAAGGATCGAAGGCTAGGTTCGGTAGATCAGCGGGACACGCTCGGACTCAGAGGGTAAGCCGGAGGTTGAGACGAGAGCACACCAGAGTGATTTTATTAGAGAAAGCGTCGTCTTATTTTTCGGTGGGTTGACCCTCTCCGAGCGCAGCTTAAAGAATGAGCGGAGCTATTCTAAAATGATTAATCTCAACAGGGTCATCGCTCTGGAAAGGACTTAAACCTTGTTGTCTCAGGAATCTCCCCCTAATCTCCCGTAGGTTGGGTTCGACGCCGTCCCACTGCCAGCATTCGAGCGTATGGATTGATCATATAAACAGCTTTGCCCAGCCTCCAGAATTATCGGGACTTTCTCATCGTGAGGAAGCTCCTTCGATTTCTCCAGGCGAGACCTTAACCTTACCAAACCTTCTTGGACGACAGCGGGCCCGAACTGATGTAAAGAGTCCGACTTGGGGACGTTCAAGCCTGTTTTGGTGATTACGTGGGTGAAATATTTCCTCTGGATTCTCCTCAGGAAGTCGATCTCGACAGCTTCGAGTTCGGATGGCTTTAAGTTGAGCGTGCTCGTTTCGGGTGACCGACTCGGTTGACGGTCGCGCTGGTTTGTCCTCGACAGGGCCAACAGCTTTTCTCTGACTGCAAGAGCGAAACTCCTTAGTCTGTTACAGAAAGCCTGTGCTCTCACCACGCTGAGCGGAGACTCTATCGGATCGTCTTCGCGATTCGTCAGTAAATATTGAGGAGGAGAATTCTGATAACTAGAGCTCGGGAGTTCAGGCATTAAGCCATAAATGTCCGCGCCTGCCTTCTCCGGCTCCCCTTGATGCAATATGCCTGTTTCACTTCTCTGATCCCTGGAGTGCCTTTTTGAGCGTCCGAGAGGCCGAGTTCCGAGAATTTTAGAGGAAATCGGGAGTCTATTTTTGAGCATGGCGATGAGATGGGATAGGCGAACCCAATTTCCAGGAGCACATCTTGCTCTCGACAAGTTCCGGTAGCCCGCTTCGGGGCAGAAAAAAATACGCCGCTTCAAAATGATCCCATCCGATCGGCGTCGATTACTCGCCGACGAAAACCCGAGTTACCGCATGACTAACGTAGAATACGACACTGACGGGCGATTTGATGCATCGTTTTCCCTGCCTTCCATGCCTCATCGGCTTTGTTTTTCCATCCACCCACCCGGCACGTCGTCTGCTCGAGGCGCTTCTCGTTGATGATCAAAACAAAACAGCATGGAGGAGAAATCGAAGCGCGTAGAGCTCGGTTTCGCCGAAAAAACCGAATCTTGGCGACTTCGATCAAAGTTCTTCCCTTCAAAGTTAGGCGGCAAGCCAGCATGGTTGGCCTTGAAGTCCTTGCCGAGCCTCAAATGCTCGTGCGGCGACACTATGAGCTTCATCATGCAGGTTTATGCGCCTGTGGATAACCACCCCACGTGCTTTCACCGCACGCTGTTCGCTTTCGGCTGCCCGCCCTGCGTAGACAAAAAGAAAGCGGATTCGATTGTGGTATTCCGGTCTCAGCTAGGCTTGAAGAACGAGTTCTATCCCGACACTCCAGCATCGGAAGTGGAGAAAGGTTCCGAAACCCCGTCAGCCGAAGACTTCAATCAGCTGTGCTGTGTTTGTGCGTGTCCAGCGTCTTCGAAATGCTCGCTGTGCAAAAATCGCAGCTATTGCTCGAAGCAGCATCAAGTCATCGATTGGAAGAAAGCTCATAGGTCTGTGTGCGCAGGAAAAAAAGATCGAAATCTTACCGGTGAGAACGGTAGCGGTGACGGTTCACTTGAGTCCGAGCTTGGAACGTCGGCGGGTGGAGAAGCAGCTCGAGAAATTTCGACGGCGCAGCCCGGAGTGACGAGTGACGCCGCCTTCGCTTCCGGAGACTTGTCAAAGTTGAGCCTCGATTGGGGGACAACCAGGCCGCGGATCCAAAAAGAAGGAGTCGAAGTTCTTCAGCAGAAATCGAAGGGCGCCATCGATCACGAGAAGAATGGCAAAAAGAAAGAGAAGCCATCGAAGGACTTCGTTCACAACGGTGAGACCGCGATCGCCCATTTCGTAGGCACTGTATTTCTCCTAATGAACGCCAGAGAATTCGTTTTCATATGCCTCCTGCGGAGGACGCTTCGTGGAGAGGGATTCTAACTCCAGAGAGGTTTCTTAGACTTCGAACGACCGGGACTGCGAGCTGCGAGGGAGGGCAGAAGCTCGAGGTTTCTACGATCCTCTCGAGTGGTTACAATCGGCGGATCAGCCGAAGAATCGATCCGGGTTCATGATTATTGTTTAATGGATTGGAGTAGTATCGCAATGTGTTTTGTTTGCAAGGGGCACCGAAGAAATGATGTCGCTCAGCGACCCCGCACAGCAGGGCTTGTCCCCGAGGGGCGTCGTAGAAATATCAATTCCCCTCGTAGGATACTTTCTGTCTCAGAGAGAGGCTCGTTCTGGGAACGGATGTTCAGTAGGGGAGTAGGGGGGATACCGTGACTGTGTCGTCTGATCGGAAACCGGCTGAATGATTGACATGAAGCTTCAGTCGGAATTCAAATCTAGTGTAACGTCGGACCTCGATATCCTCCGAATGTAGGTGTTTTCCCCGAGTACGAAATCGAGACCGAAACCGAGGAGTCGGACGAAAGAAGCGAGACCAAAGAGGACACTCAGCAAGATCTGGTCAATTATCTGAAAGGGATGGACAAAGAAAGCATCGCCACGATGAGGGAAATGGCCTCATGCAGCGATAAAGATCTCAAGGTTAGAGCATTCAAGTCGTTGAGCGCGCAAACTTCAGAAACCTTCAATGTCGTTGAACGAAGCTCTCATTTGGACCTCGCGCTTGGGGGTCCCTTTGCCCGAATATTCGCCCGCCCTTGCCGGTTTGTCTTCAGAACGAAACTAGCGAAATCTCATCTCTTCTCATCAGGAAATCGAAGACATGTCAAGGAGCCTTGATGACAAAGCCTTCAAACGCTTCAAGAAAATCATCAGCCCCTATCCAGAGCAAATACTGCGGTACTGCAAAGGCGGAGAACCCCTGTGGGTGTCGGCTGAGGCCGTGCCAGAGAGTATTCCCGCCTGCGGGAAGTGCGGAAGTCCTCGAGAGTATGAGTTTCAGGTGAGTGCCACCCATTCATTAGCCCCCTGAGATTCGGGGAGACAAGCGTGAGGGCATGTCGGGTTCTGGCAATGCTCTCGATGTCATAATCTCGACTGCTTGTAGCTTGCATCGGTATTTTCTGCATAGTACCGACCTGTGGCGATCACGATGATTGCACCTGAATGAAGCAAGACCATCTCTCCTCAGATCATGCCTCAAGTTCTGAACCTGCTGAAGAGCGATCTCCTTGACTGGGGAACTGTGGCCGTTTACACGTGCTCGAAAAACTGTGATACTGATGGTTATGTCAAGGAATTCCTTCACCGGCAAGATTTTGTGTGAATAATAAATAAAAAAAGGTTTCACTGAGTGGGGCTTTTTATTTTTAATGCCATGCGTGAGGGTGGTCGCTACATTCGTGCGTGGGCTGAGATGATTTCGCGATCTTCCTGATGTCTGAGTATCCAGATGGTCTCGAAGGACGCACGGATAAAGTCGCGGCTGCATGGCAGAAATTGCCCTATGCGGAAAATACTTGAATGAACTTCGGAGCGACCCATCGAGGATTCGCCGCTATACCAGCTCATGGAACGAGAATCGAGCTTGAAGGCGGAATCCGCGAATGCATCAGGCGATCGGAGACCTTCTCGAAAGCTCAGGGGACGAAACCTCCGAACGCTCCGAGAAAAAATCCTCAATCGCTCCTTTCTTGCGAATCTCCGCAAGAGTTCTGCTTTCGGAATCGGCTACTCACAGACCAGAGAACGTCACGTCATTAGAATTTCGGGCACGCGTCATCTCTCTGAAGCACCTTGCTCACTTCTTCCCGTTCCGCGTCATGTTTTGATCTGAATGCGGAGCCGAATTCGTACATCATTCAAAGACTCAATTGAGACGTTCCTGTATAATTCAATCATAATCCTGTGCCACGCTCGACTTGTCCCACATGGAGAGAGCTCGTCGAGTCCAAAACGTCCATTTGCGAACGGAGCAAGTCTCCCTTGGTGATCGGATCATACTAACGGATCAAATTCGGTCACGAAGATCTTCGGAACCAGGAACTTCGGGAACTCATCGGTGCTTGGAAGCCGGTGGTGAGAATGCGAGCCAATCGCTGAAAATCCTCGCGAAAAAGAGAAGAAAATATTAGTTGAATGGATTCTCGACTTCCTCTACTGGAACGCAATGTCCGATCAGAGTCCGATCATCCACATCGCTACTGCGCGATCGACCCCCTCGCTTTCGGGAATTCTCACGAATCTCTCAAAGGGTTGATTGAGGCATTGCGAATCGACATGATCGGCTGTCGGCTGAAAGAGGCGTGAAAACGGGAATTGACGCGAACGAAAATGTTTCCTTAGATCGGCTGGAAACTGGGAGCGCCGCTCTGCTCCCCCGTGCGTGGCGAAGGAACTGGTCAACTGTGATGCTCGAACATCAGTAGAATATCCGGCGCAGACCTCCTCTTGGGGCAACTGATTTTTGAATGTGGGAGTCGATACGAAGAAGAGTTTTGGAATTGAGGTCTGTAAACGACGGGGATTTTATTCTAGCGGGGAAGGCTCTCATCTCACTCCGAAATCAGTTTCGCGCCGTATCGACACTTTGATGACAATTGAACTAACATCGCAGAGCAAGCACCGATTTTCCCTAGACGGGATCAATATTATGTCACATAATATTCGAATATATTTGATATCCTGCTTATCGGTCGTCAGTCTACGTTTTGGCACGAGCGCAGAACTCCTAGGCGGGCATCGGCTTCTGGCGTAATATGTTCCCCCTCCGCCTCTGAGACAAATGAGGCAGAGAATCCGTCACCACCACTCGGGACCCGGGCCTCCCGGGGTAACACTATCGGGCCATTCCCTCGCGAGTCGCTTGACATCCAATCCGGTCATCCTGCGCATGAGGAAAGAAATAAGGGATCCGAGAATCTACTCAGACCTGAGAATGGTGCCCCTTAACAAAGGCTTATTTCAATCTTCCGCTGCAGGCAGCGTATCTTACATTCGAGAAATCCGCACAGTCGGTGAATGGAACTCGTTCGATTGAGGGACAATTACCAGCTGCTTGATGGGACTGACATCGTAAGGGAGTAAAATCAGTTTGGGAACGAGTCTTAGAGCAGCCAGAAGACCTGCCTGAAGGAAATGATCCAATGATAATGGAACTTCTCGCCTTGGATACATTTGTGGACGAATCGCCGGCGATAGCACTCTGAAATTAAATGGATACCTAGGAACAATTTCTTTCAGCGCGAGGAGCGAACTTACTCTGTGGATTTTCGACTTGAGATGCTTCTTCCCGAATTTATGAAGCGCATGGAGACCAAATTTTTGGCTGACTGTAAGCCCGATAAGACTTAGCAGGACAAACAACAGGATCCTCATAGTCAGAGTTTTTCTCTTCCTTCCGTTATATTGTCATCGACATAGTCGAGGAGACTTTGCTACGGTCCCTGGAAGAGTTGAACAAATCCCATTCTATGAGCGTTTACTTTCGAGCGTTTTCCAAATTTTCAGCATCCGATAGAGCCGTTTTCTTCACTTTGCTGGTCATCTTGTTGCCGTGGCTTTGTGTTTCGTTTCTGCGGTTTTCGAATTGAATCATTTCGGGACACAATGAAACTTCTCTTCGTCGAGCCGGTGTCACGATCTAAGATTGCTCGACCTCACAAGATGATTTTCATGGATTGCCAGTCGTGAAGTCGAGCATTAGATAAGTGGTCGCCGGAGAAGTCTACCACCAGGTACTCGGAGAATTTTCGGAAATCAGCTCAGAGCTCTCGAAGCGACTCCCGGAGCATTGCTCGGGACTCGAAAATCGACGCCAAGTACCTTTCTTCCGGTCGCTTCTTCGTTGAGGAGCCGCCCTGGTTGCCCAGAACTATTGATTCCCAGTATCTAAGCGGAGAATCTGCGATATTACCAAGCTGGAGGCATCGCCGAGCGTCGATTCGTTCCGCATCGTAGAGCTTCGCGTTTTGCCTTCCGTTCTGGAGCGCCTCCATCGACCGGACGGGAACGGTACGGGAAACTCGCGAATCAGCTCTCAAACCTCGGCGGAGTACAAAACACGAAGCTATTGAAAGCCTCTTTGACGTGAAAGGCGGGGATCGCAGGTCGCCCCGGACATCGAGGTTCCGAGAACATTGATATGCCCTTGAGCAGTGTCGAAAGGTCAGATCCGTCAGACTCTCCAGACAATTGATCTCGAGGCAGGCCTGGATTTTCTCAGTATCAAAGTGCAGCACGGAGAACTGTTTCCGCCAGCGACCCCGAGAAATCCGCCGTGGGCCCCATGAAGGCCCGGTACGTCTCGTAGATTGGCGTCGGATCCGAACGATCCCCGTCATCTCGATTTCCACGTTTTGCGAATACGTTGATCAGCTGGAGACGAGAATAAATTCGATATATTCAAGCACATGTCGCAATCGCGACGACAGGGAAAATGATTAAGTGGATGAAAATAGGAGCGATGAGCGTAGCTCTAGGAAAAGGGGGCACGGTGAGGCATCCCGAGCATCGCAGCAAATCGGAAGCGTCAGAGCGAGCATCTGTACGGCGAGTATGGATTATTGGAATGGAAAGATTATTCAAGGAGATCTCCAATGAGGGACATCCGTAATCACCCTTCATACAAACGTCGATCGGAGTCATTCGATACGTTTTCAGTACCACTACGGCGCTCAGAATCCATGGTTCTGTCGGCTCGCCATGTGGGTCTGGGGCTTTATGAAACTTGGAGCGGGGATGGGATCTTCAGTAAAAAAGAGAATTTTATAGCCAGTTCCGCTTGCGACCAATTTTCGCGACCATGTTCACTAAAGTGTTGCGCGGCTCTTCAAAGATTCACTCCACCTGGCTGAGCTGCTTCGGGTGGTCGAGTGACTCGCCGCGCACTTAAGGCTGGGTATCGCGAATGACCCGACAGGGCCGAGCATTAATTTAACTTGATATCCGATTCGGAGATGAGTTTGAAAAACGCAAAGAGCGATTCATCAACCCGCGGCTGGTCGCGCCTTGGGGGCTTTAGAAGGGAATGCATCCGATGACTGAACTATGCCTGAAATCGCTCTTTAATCATCATTATCATATGAAGGAGACAATCTGAGCGGACAAACACAAATAATCGCCGAAGTTCTTGATATTGAGGATATCATGACTCGGGGCACGGGGGGGTCCTGCCAAGGAATCACTTACGTCAAAGCGTGAGAAGGCATAGATGCCTGCAGACGAAGTTGTGAGAAATCGCGTTCGCCTCGTGAGCTTTCCATGAGCTAGAAAACCGCAGGAGGGTGATATCCGCCCTGTTTTTCGAGAACATTTTCAAAGCGTCGTATAGAAAAACGAATGCCAGGGAGGGATCCAAGCTCCATCGCGAAAAGCCGTAATACGGTGATTGCAAAAAAAAACGATCTGCTCCACGGTCTTGTCCGCCCACGTTCAGTTTCGTGGGACTTCACGTCGCACTCACTAGTCAAATCGGAGGAGCTGTCGGAGAACGCTGGAGAACTTCGAAGGAAAGCGCGCGCACTCGGAGCGAAGCTACGGTCGCATCGAAGATTTTGTCTTCTGCTCCGAAAACTTAGCCGGATCAAGAACTCACCCTTCACGAAAGATTTCCCCTCAGTCCAGCTTGAAGAATCTCCGAAGTAATCTAGAAACCTCGGCTGCTCTCGAGGAAATTCCAAGGAGACTCTGAGTTCACGGGAAGCACCAGGTTTTTTTTACGAGAACTTTTCACTTGAACTTGAACCGCACCCGTTGATTCTGAGCGCGCTATGGACACCTTCGGCCCGACTGCTCCCGCTGAAGTGCGCAAACCGCCACAACGGAGCCGCTCTGAGCGAGTGGTGGAAGGAACCGAAGTCTTGACCCTTCTACGGGCGCCTGAACCATCGTCGGGAGGGAAGCCGCGATCTTCGCATGAAAATCTTCCACATAGAGCACAACCGAGGAGGATCGGAATCATTGGAACCGAACAGGCAACGCGCGATTCAGATCGTGTATCTATATTTTTCTAATTATTGCTGAGCTCATCGAAATCGAATTACTCGGTGAAGAGGGGACAGCTGTTGCATCAAGTAGCTGTCTCACAAAAACGAAGCAAGATCGTCGGAGTCTAGCTCAACGAGGGAGAGCTTCGATGGAAGACAACTTAGATCCATGGCAGAGAGCCGAATTCCAGAGACTCTGCCGAAGCATACGCCGCATACGAAACTCATTTTTCCACGACGGCAATTATGTCAAACAGCCTAGAACACTCTCCGACGATGAACGGTTCGAGAACGCTCATCAAATCCATGATTACCTAAAGGTTTCTCAAGACTCACGATAAATTACTATATTCGCTTTGGAGCCATTGTGATTTTGTTTGCCGATCGCAGCCCGCCTCCATTGATGCTTAAGGCGTAATCCATTGGCAGGAGGCTGACGATCTTCGACTATCGTACGCAGAAGAAGTTGAGAGGCACGAGGAATTGATGAAAACTCAATTGGCCCCGTCGATAGAATATTTCTCGAATCCGCTGGTTTTGGAGCTGCAAACGGATTTGTTTATGACGGATTACGTACGAGGGTTCATGAAAGGCATCAACACCGTAGGACACAAGACGACGAAAGGCTTGATTGAGCTGGTACAAAATTTAGAATGTGAAGATGCCCGGACGCAGTGAACTGATATCCCAAGTCTAAATGACTTCTCATAACTATTCTGAATAATCCTGACGGGGAAGACACAGAAGCTCTTCTTTCTCACACTCAGCTCCAAGAAACTCTACCCGCAAATCGATGATCTGTTCTTTTACTCCCACATATTCGGAATACGTGATATGATCCGAAAGTCTATATAAACTCATTATAGATAACCATCAGAATAAGGTATGAATTCTCCCCGCTAGAATGACTCCTGCGCCGATTTCCTGTCGATGAGAAACTTATTCTAACGAGACGCTGGGCATATAACAGCGATAACATTCCGTTCTTTATTCGTCTCGACTGTAGCTTAAATATGATAATCGCGATTCTGCGAGGCGGGGAGGGCGCGGAGAAGAATCCTTCACTCGAGCTCTGCGATTTGTCTTAACAAGCGGTCCCTGATAAAGTTGTACAAGATCATATCGTTCGTCAGATTCTGCTTGAGTTCATTTCGAGCGGCGGCGTCGACGCTGGGCTTCTCCAGGTTGACGTTGTGAGGACCTGAAGAAGTCATCCTTTCAGATCTGCATGGAATCCATTGTCACTTATCACCAAATTATTCCAAGTATGGCGTGGGAGCGCGTGTTCGAAACCTCACCGATTCGGGTGAGAATCTCGCTGGCACCTGAGAAAAACTGCGGCAAACGCTTTTCGAGGACCGCGATCGTTTCCGCCAACATTTCGACTAGTCCCACGACGTCGTAGTACCGCTCGATATTTTTCTTCGCTTGCTCAAGCGCCCATTCGTCATTGACAACCCTAGAATTCCGAAATTCGCTTTCATCCTGTCTTTTTTCGAAAATCCTGCAATGGAATCCGGATATCGCGAAGAATGGAAATATCAAGAGCTGTTTCTATCCACATATCATAATATTATTTGGAGAATGGCGATTGTGGGAAATTTCCGCCACCACGCCGGCGCCCAGTACTATGTCTTTCGGCCCTTACATGCATTTCTGGTGATGCCCGCAGAAGTAGGGAACCATGTGACCAACTTGTAAATATCCCGTCATGTACTGACACTCGTCATCGGATCTCCGAATGCACTCTTCGAGTGACTGGAAGGAACAAAAATAATCAGTTTCAATCAAGCGGGGAAAAAGCCGTGCAGGATCGCTCATAAAACTTGGAGATCTACCTTTTCGAGCCAAAATTTGCTGGGAGTCACAGCATAGCTGTCAATGTGCTTCCTCGCAACTGACCGACGATAGTAGTAGTCAGAGATGATGCGTTCAACGGGATCGCGGACCATGTTGATGAAGATAGGTGAATCGAAGCCGAGTCTAAAATGATGAGAGAAGGGAGTGTTCCCGATCGACCCAGGGAAGGAATCGGAGCCGGTCGGCTACAATCTGTTGGCGGAGGCTCGAGTGGATTTCTCGTTCTGCGCTCCTCCTGCACAAACTCACGAGTTAAAGTTCACGAAGTGGACATGACGATCGAAAGTGACTGGAGCCTCGCTTTCAACGACACTGGCCGCGAGCTCATTTTGCTGCTCCGAAGTCAATATTCGCATGTTGTAAACCGAGGAAGACTTGTGCGTGAAGTTGTTCTTGGCCGAGAGTGCGTGGAGTATATTGAGCATTGAAGTACTCGCTGCCTTAGGAATCCGATTGAAGTAGAGTCTGGATGAGTCTATCGCGAGGGGAGGCAAACTCTGATTGAGAATTTCGCTCCCATCGATTCCGTCGTCTGGAGTATGCATGAAGCGTGATTTAGAATCGGAAAATCTTCTCGATTTCGCAAACGGAAGGTTTATATCCGGGTGCGGTTCGCAGCAATCACCTGACCACGGCACCGTGCGATAATTTGACGTGTTTGCTTCCACTAAGCAATCGTACAGAAGGACCATCGCGACTCCGGAGGCGATGAGGCCCATTATCAGGACTTGATTCGGTATCGGACTTGAAGATCGGTGAAATGTCATCTGATTCGGTAGCAATCTGGATTCCAAAGGGGGAAGGATTCTTCTCTCAACCCAATGAATTACGGTAGGCAGGCAGGATATGCCATCGGGGAAATTCGTAAAATTTTCGAACTTTCGACGCCGTTCGAGGTGTGTAAGGCAAAGTGTCATATCATGCATGGTACATGGCGACAAACTAACCTGACCCGCTCTGTGTCCATCGTAGCAGACTCAACATCGCAAGCAGAGCGGAGTGGCGGTGCGGATCAGACAATACTGAGACATGGAAAGAAACACTAAACGAAACCAGATGAGGATCTGAGCTTCTGGTGGTCGTATGACGCACTAACCGGAAGCGGCTGAGGTCTCAAGCGGTGGCTCGGTACTCTTCTTGTTCGAGAAAACATCGGCACAGAGACTCCATGAAAAGCATGTTCAGTTCTATCCTTCCTCATTTCTCGGATATATCGTCGATGTGGAATAATCGCTCTCGACAGAATCGACTCCCTTTCACGATACATGAAAAGGATAGTCAATCTCCCAGGGCCGGAAAACGGAAAGTCACGGAGCTCAGTAGAAGATTCAGATTCCGATGAAATATCGAGATCCTTCCACTCCCGGACCGTAATCATGGGGACGCTCGATCGAGGTGATAAGTGACAACGACGCGTTCGGAGTGAACTCTGGAGATGATGATGGTCAGTCTGAACCTATTTGTAGAGTTTTCCGGATGATGTAGTATTCGCTCATCGCAGTCTTCCTCCGAGAAAGACGGAACTTTTCGCATCGAGTCTCTGGAATTGGGAAACTTTTCAGATTTCGTGTGCCTGATAATTGAACAAGGGGGGCAGAGAACATGCGCCATCCTCTGGTGTAGGGGAGAAAGCTTGCCTCCCCATATAACAGACAGACCCGACCATCGGTCATAGCGAGGGAAGGCGAAGAAAATTCGAAATCGACCCGATATGAGATTTCCGACTCGAGGATAAATAAAGACTAAAACAAGAACAAGCATCATTGCATCAAGCGAGAACGGGTAAAGCGGAACGGAAGGAAACCTCATATGATATTGGGAGAGGACCCGACATTTCTCTTCGTTCTGTAAATGAAGCCACCCTCAATTATAGCTAGGAGGAGCTCTATCCTTAGGGATTCGGAATCTTTCACAAGAGGTGAGATGTCGTGATGGACGTGATGGACGTGAGCGATGCAAAAATCTCATGGAGGACTCAAGAAGTGTGTGGAAAGTGCCTCGCGCTGAAATCGTGGACGCCACATCGGGGCCGGCCTCTGAGCGAGGCAGAAAATGATGATCGCTCACTTAATATCTGGAAGAAAGCTCACCGAGCGACTTCAGTCTCCGTACGTGGAATGCTCCATTGACCAGAATTCGTCGCTGACAATTCTGACGAATTATCGATTGTCGTCTTCGTCATCATTCTATGCGCAGTCGCCGCCTTGGTCGAGGGTATCCGTCGATGTGATGGGTGATTAGAAGGAGCGTCGGAGCCCAATGTACCTCGTCCCTTCCTTCAAAGCCCGAGAATATCGTTAGAGTGTGAAACGTTCATGGATTGTATGGGATTTTCGGAAACAATATCCATGGAGGAACAGAGCGACCTACGGATTGAACGATGAGATTTTCTGAATATACACGATCGTCCAAATGATGTACAATGATCGTGTACGATAATACGATAAGGTATCATGGCGAGCTCTGGAGTATGAAAATACCAGACTAGGCTTCGTAGAGTACCGCGGTTCTTGGCACCGCGATAACTTTCGAAAACAACTCAATATGGGGCGTCCGAGGGGGATCGCAGTCGAGACCGCGGTTTTCCGGAAAAGAGGTTCTCCACGAAGCCCACTCCTGAGTCTCCACCCCGCTTTCAACGCATCCAGCTTTATTCCGACAACATAACTTGACTCGGATGCTGTTGTCGATGATCCGTGCAAAATAACCGTAAGGAGATCGGGCGGTGTCGCGTCGGTGCCGCTGTCTTTCGGTCGGGCCACAACACACTCTTGGGTTACTCTACTTCCCACGCTATACTCCCACGTTTCTCGATCCTATGCTAGCAGTGCTAACGCTCTCTCAGCGTTCCTCCTCATGATCGAGAGAGCTGCGGGACGGAGGGTGACTCTTCACGTTTCAATCGATTCCCTCGACTTGATGACGACATGGAGAAGTCATATCCGGTCGGTGAGCCCACGTTCCGAGGGTTCCCGAGCTTCGACAAATTATGCCGATCGAGCCCTCATCCCCGTCTACCGAGAGCACCTGCTTCAATCGTCGACTGAGCTCCGGAATTCCCCCTCTTTGCTCTTCGAAGTGATAGGTGTGAGAAAGAGGACGGCCATTGTTCCCTAGGAGGGTTTTCGGCAAAGGAAGTACAGAACAAGTGAATCGAACCGCAAAGAAGTCCTCTAGGGTCCGTACAAGAATCTTCTCGGTCGATGTTCGAGAATAATTTGAGTTCGCCCAATCCGGTATCAGAGGCTCGAACCGATCGAACTCCAGTTGCGGTGACGCCGTCGGTGATAATTCAGGTGGGGTATGATTGCGCTCTGATGATTATTGTCGCTGTGAGTTCAGGTTCAGCATCGAATGAGGTCTGACTCACAAATTCGTAATATTGCGCTCTCGGTCCTTCCAGATTGAGGAAGATGTCCCAATGCAATCGATTCTCCCGCGTCTTCGTACGGGTCCGCTATTGGTTTCTGCATGTTCGCAAACGCGTCCTCCGATTCCTCATGCCGTACCGACCAGATATGAGAGCAGCACGAATACCAATCTGAACCAGTTTCTTCGACCAATCATCCCCCGACCCGGGAACACTCCTTGACCCTTGATTGAGGCGATTTATGCTCTAGCCTTGGGCTTCTGCCGTATACTCTGACGCGTTTCATCATGGAACCTTCGATGGGACTGAAAAATTCTCAACAATCCGGAATTCGCGCGACAGTAAAAAAGGGGAAGCTTCGAAAAAGAAAGCTTCCGAGACGCACCGAGCCGTCAAGGTCGACCATGCGGAGAGGAGTCGAGCTGTGAGGATCAATCTTGTCCAACGATGAAGGAAGCATAAGTCGCGAATCTACGGAGCGGGATTTGACGACCACCCGGGTGTACCGATCAAACAGGAAGAACGCTCCAAGTCGCCGAATAAAGATGACGCATCGGATCACGACTAACTCTTTTATTCATCGCTTCCGACCAGACATTCATCAGGTCCTTCGTCCTCATTCTCTGATTCATAGTCCATGGCGTCCTCCTCTTGGTGATCGTCAGGTATACAAGCCTGCACGAGAAAGAGAAAGAAGTTCTGTCAAATATTTTTTCAGAGAAATAAATTGAGAATATTCGGTGTGAGAAGCTCTCGCCGCACGAGAGCCCCACCTGCTGAATTTCGGTGAGATCTTCTTCGACTTCCTGATCCTGCAGATTATAAACAATGTAAGGGAAAGACACGGTGAGCGGCTTTTTCCGACTGCGGGGCTCGAATCTGTCGATTGGATCGTTGAGAAATCGCTTCACATACTTCGATATCTGTTCAAACAAATGAACTTCCGACAGCTGTTCCGAGAAGCGGTTCGCGATCGTCTCGCTCAATTTCTTGTAAATTTCTGAGAGCAATTCGACGCGAGCGCGAGCCTTAGCTTCCTGCAAAGCCGAATGAGCTCCTTATTCCTACCATATGAGGAGCTTGAGCCTCCATTTCTCGAGGTATGCCGGCTCTTGTTATAAAATATTCGATTGATTGTCCCTCTGGAGAGACTCTCTCGCTAATGAGTCCTGGAATCGTTAGCCTGATTCATGGCGCATTGAAGAATAATTCATACAGAAAATTTGAAGCATCGATTGGCCTCTCGGGAGAGATTGATTCTCACCGCCATCTGCAGATCATTCGCCCTGACTAGAGCCTCGAACTGTTTTTCCACTGACTCCCGACGCAAATTGAGTCGTACGCAGGCCGTTTCTAATTTTTCTTGATGCTGTTCTCTGAGCGAGGCTTCCAGGGCCCTGAAAAACTCGGTTATCTCATGACTTATGACGACGTGGAACCCCCAAATGTCGAATAGGATCATTTACAAGAGGGACCGGTTCCCTAAACTGGAACCTTCGATAGAGAACAACAGAAGTTCCCCCAGGGGAGATAGGATTTTGATAGCTGTTGTCGTTCTCCCTGGAGAGAAAGACAATCTGGAAACGCTAGGAAGTCACCTGTACTCTTCGTCTTCCCCGGACCGAACATCCTGGATTTTACGATTGAGCTGCTCAAGCTGCTGGTTGATCAACTGGTTAGCTACGTCGTTTAAGCGTTCGAACTCCTCCTGTCGGATAGAATCGACTAATGAAGTCGTCACGAATGTTTTCTTTTCGCCAAGATTCGATCTATCTGAGGATGAGATAGTCGTCCGGACTCGGAGTCGATATTCACCCTTATCTCAATCAGGCGTCTCGACTTGTGTTCAAACTTCTCGTCTAGATCCTCTGTTTCGTCCGACGAATTACCGTCATCTGTCTGGCTGGAAACTTCCGCCGTTTCCGAAGTTGGGTAATCACTCGAACTTTGAGAAAACAAAGATCCCCTACGAGTCTGCGATGAAAACTTGACTTATTGAATATTTTCGATTCGAGGAGCTGATCGCGAATCCATCATCATCGGTATATAGCAATGGAGATCTTCCTCCCTCTAGTCTAAGCTCTCAACACTAGGGTTTACGCCCGTGCTGCCGCATCCAATTCACTAGGACCCTGATGAGACGGTCACTGCGCCGCTTGATTATTTCGAAATCGACTCAGAAAAGCGCGAGAAGGCTGAGGACTTGCCATTGTTCCGGGCTCGTTTTCGGAGGGAGATCGCGGTGTCGAGTCGTGGGTTGTCATCACGACGTTGAATCCGAAGGTCAAGATGGTTGCGCTCTCAATGTGCGCTCGCAGCTCGATGCATGTGCACGTCATAAACATTTCCGCTGTATATCCGATCACTTCGGAAGCCTCAATTACTTGGTTCCTAGTTCATCCTTCATCTTTCATCCGGGATGTCTATTCTGGAGAGTGGCGGGACGATTTCCACCCTCCAGGTCATACTGATTGTGACAGATCCTCGAGACCTCCGATTTAATTCGATCGCGGTTCGCCGGTCTCGTCCAAGGAGCTCCAACTCTGGTTGCATGCTCGTCCCCTTTCCAATCCAAAGCAACGCGGGTCCTGCTCTCTCTGAAAAACCGCGTTGAATTCTTAGCCCGGCTCAAGATTGCGACTGCACCTGATGTCATGCAGAACACGATGGTTTAATTGTGAATTCGCAAAACCACCTCGGCGTCCGTGCCGCTTGGATTCATTTCTGACCACGGAGTTCGAAACGCTCAGGAAGTCTCTTGCTCGACGAGAAATCAATCTCCTGATGCTTCGAAGTCGGAGGGAGAGCTGCAAGAAAGTCCGAGTTTCATCAGAGAATTCCCAGGACGACGCCTGTGTACACTCGAGAAGCCTAGGATTGCGGTCGAGAAAGGAAGATCCCCCGGTTCGGAATATAGCTCGCCGCTCCGGCTAAAGCTGGGACAGAATATATGTCGCGAATATTTAAGACAGGAAGATTCGAGTACAAATGAATCTGTTCAGGCTCAGCCCGCGTTGCACCAGAAAATCTGTACGACGATTCGGGTGTGCCAATCTCGCGTCCAGGGAACTCTGGCTGTTGCTCTCGCGAAAAAGTGAACCTATGCAGCTCAGGTAAACCCATTATGCGGTCGGAATGCTAGACTTGTTCGACTCCTTGGTCCCTGTATGATTGAGGATCAATTCTGAAAATCAATCGAGAGAGAGGTATCCCCATTCACAACGCCTGAGTCTCTCGACATTGTGCGACCACATTTTCGCATACTCGCACTGCGGCCGCGGAGTCGCCTTGGCGACATGAGGAGACGGAGACCCATGCAGTTTATTTTGAGCTCCATCCTTATTCCACCTTCGACGACACTTGAGCGGGTCGGCGATCGTATTGACGTAATTCCTCGATCCAATAAGGAGGGGCGAGATTCTTCAGGCAAGCGATAGCCTCACCGCAGCTTCCTGAGTGAGTATTCGGAACTCTCCCTCTCTCTGATCGGATTGTGTTAAACTAAGAAAAAAGTTCGAGCGGCGATGATGACTACGAGCGCGGCGGCTTTGACTTCCCCAGAGCCGGAAGGACGCGAAGATGCTTGTGGGTCTCCCTCTGAAGCCGGAGGGAAACCGAGGCGCTAACGCGGTTGTTTCAACCCAGATCCACAATACTCCGGTCGAATCACTTTGATCGACAGAAACTTTCTTCGGTTTTTCTGTCCGTCACGCGAGCGGGCATTCTCCTCACTGCGATGGTGGGCTACGACGGGAAAAATAATTCGACTCCGGACATGATGCTCACTCAAGACAACATCGGGCGACTCGATCAGCGTGAAAGAATGAAAAGAAAAAAATTCTCAGAAGAGCGCGGGATGAGTCCGGAAGTAATCCATGCTGCGGATGAAAAATGACTTGTGTGATCATCGCGAATCCTTGTTTCCGAGCTCTCGGTCGAGCAGAGCGCTTGTAGCACTCGAGAATACGGGACTCACGTCGGAACTCACACCCTCCGATCCAGATCCGGAAAAAATCCCCGGAAAGATGCTGATGATAATTGAGTCATGGGTCATTTTAGCCATTCTGTCACCGAAATTGTATTGATTGCCGTCCCTTCGAATGACTCCATGGTAGCTTGAGGAAGGTTCCATGGAGTCGGGCTCCTCTGGTTTCCGCCACGGTGCGGTACGAACCGTCCCCAGCGTTCGAACAGGGCTCTTAGATTGAGACTCTGCGTTCCGCTATCTTGAGGAATGACTTTGCCGCGAATTTCGTCAGAGAAGACCTCAGAGCGCCGCGTCATTATTCGTCATTTTTCCTATGGAAAATACAGATCAGGAACTCACCAAAAGCTCTAAAGCAAGTTACATCATTGTTTGCGGGAAGGGAACACCGATCCACGCCCGTGTATCCCGATGGTCCCAATGGTCGCCGTCCGAATGAAGACCGTAGCCGACGGATGCGAGCGGAACCTGCCTCTGGGACCCGATATTCGGATTCTATTCTTCCACATTTGCGTCGACGGTATCCGCCCGCACCGACTTGTTTCTGTATGAGTAAAAAGAAAAGGTTGGTTTTTGCGTGAGGTTTTCTGTCCGTCCATCAATTGATGATCCCGACGGCGGGGAAAGCGACGCGTTTGCGGCGATGGCTTGGAATCACAAAGACGAACCCGCACCCACCAGCCGCATGAAGGATCCACTGAGCAGACGGTCGAAGCAGCGGCGCACCACTGGGCAAGAAAGCCGCGGCCCAGCTGAGATTTCCTCTCTCATCGAGCAAGAGCCAACGGAGTCAACTTCAAAACTCACCCGGACTATGGCGACAGAACGCGTCAAAGTTTCCAGCAGAAACCCGTGGTCCGAACTTACGCCGTCCGCGGATTGAATTTCTTCGTTCGTCAATTACGAGTGATTTCCCATCTGTCTTGGTGCTCGAACAAGGAATGCTGCTCTGCATCCTGGTGCTGTTCCCCCTGGGGAGCGCGTCCCCTCTGACTGAGATGATCGCCTCACGCTTGAAAGCCCTACAAGCGACGAGGTTCAACGGTACCGAGGAAACGAGTCGAGGAGCTCTACAGAAGTCCGGTTTCTATCCGGGTTTCGGTCATCCTCTGACAATGAGAGAGTTCTTGGCCAAGGAAACCTTCCGCCTGGTCGCCGAGATGGCGCTCGAGAGGATGCCCTCTAGGTGAGTTGTACCTACTATTGAACACGTTCAAACTTCGCGTGGATTCCGTAAATTCCGCTCAAATCGACGTCCCGGGAGCGATTCTCGAAAGCCGATTGACTCGTTCCCAGGCGTCACGACGACTCATACGAGATGTACTACCCCCACAAGAAGAAGAAGAGTTATCTTCAGAGCCGACAGTTCTTCGAATCCGAGGAATTCATCCTCTTCTTGATCGGCGTTGGACTCGCTTCGGTGCTCGGTGAGACACCTCCCTCTAACAATTATTCTCGCTCGAATATCAGAGGCTAACGAGATGACGAGAGAGATAACGATCACTAGATGTACCTCCGATTCCCCTCCGTTCAGGCATGGCTACGATCATGGCTCCAATAAACCAGCTCATGTACTCGAACGCGTACGGCGGCGTCCCCGCCGGCATTCAGGCCTTGCCTGCGGGACCAGCTCTCCTGGCGGGACCGCAAGGTCGCAGAAGACGTCGGTGAGTAACTTCCTCATGATCTGGTTGTACATATTTCCGTGACGAAGAACTCCAAGTTCCGTCAGATCGGCAAGCGCGATGATCTGACCTCCGATTACAGATCGCTTCCGCAAATTCGACAAATCGAACGAGCTCACGCAACACTTCAAAGCGCTTCACAGCGATTTGGACGACTTCGCACACTGACGACTTCTCGAATAAAGTGAGAAATACCCACCGCTCGTTTGCGGTCTACTCTTCCGGATCGGCGTGACTATCGATTGACGAACCAAAGAATTGTTATTTATTCCGTTGTGTTTGTATACCCACCGCGTGCGTTCCCGCCAACCTCCAGTTCTCGCTTTTGAGGTTGAATAAAAAAGAAAGACGCCCCCATCATCCCATCCGACTTTTCAATTTCGGCTCTTCGTTCTCACCAATTTTTCCCGGCGATCCCATCCGGCAAGGCGGTGGAAGAGACCGGAAGTCCAACTCACCCGTCGCTAAGCTGAGGCGAGAGACAGCTTGAACAATTCAGGCGGGTGTCAGTCGGCTCGATGAGAAAGGGCCGACGCCTCTGGAGAAACGCTCGTGTCGGCAGAGCCTTCCTCAAGGCTATCGACCTTTGTCCGCGAGAGTCTGGCCCCAGATAGGTATGTTGACCACTCGGAGCACCGCAACTAGTGCGCTCAGGATCCTGAGGCAATGCCGGACATTCCAAACAGCGAACGTGACAGTGGGAGAAGTCATTGAGCAACGATTGACCGCAACGATTCCCGAGAAGCTGAACTTTGCCAGAGATGTCATCGACTACTGGGCCGAAAAAGAACGACGTTTCGAGAAAGACCCCACTCATCCAGCCCTGCGGATCATCGGAACCGATGCCCGGGAAAAACGTAAGATCAACTATACGGAATTCTCCCAGCTCACGGAAGAGCTGGCGGGAGACTTCGTGAACGAGTTGGGACTCACTCGTCGAGACCGCATCCTGATCTGCTTGCCCCGCTGCGCCGAGTTCTGGATCGCAACGACAGCCGCCCTGAGAGCCGGAATCGAATTCACGACGGTCACCCCCCAAGCACTATCCCGAGACCTGGGCTATCGGATCGAGCAGTTCAGACCATCGGTGATAATCTCCGACAAAATCGAGGAGGTCGAGAGCGTCAAGAGCCCAAACTGGGTGGTCAAGCATACGTTATGCGTGACCGACAAGCGGGTCCCAGGTTGGAGACCTCTCTCATCCTTGACGGGTCGGAACCCCTTGGAGGCAGCGGACACGAGAGCTCACGAGAACGCTTTGGTGTATTTCACATCTGGAACAACAGGCTATCCGAAAATGGTTCAGCACAACAACGCCTACGTTCTCGGGCACATCAGTAGTCTGACCAACCTCTTGACCGTAGAACCAGGTGATGATTTTCTCTGCACTGCCGATACCGGCTGGGCGAAAACAGCCTTCGGGACCTACCCGTGTTTGATCGCGGGATGCTCGATGGTGATTGACCTCGACACTCGCTTCAATCCGAAAAGGCTGATCGATATAATCGAAAAACATCCCGTCTCTAAAATCAGCTCTGCACCAACCGTGTACAGAATGATGATGAACCAACAGGAAAACTTCAACTTCCCGCATCTCTCGGGAGTCTACTCGGGCGGGGAACCGCTAAGTGCAGAGACTTTCTATAAATGGAAGAAACTCACGGGTACCGAGATACGCGAGGGTTACGCCCAGTCAGAGAGCTTGATGCTCTGCGCGAATAACCCCCGAATCGAGGCCAGACCCGGTTCCATGGGCAAACCGGCTCCAGAGTATGAGGTCGCGATCCTAGACGACGACATGCAGCCCCTCGGCCCGGACTCTGTGGGGAACTTGGCGATAAAAATTAAGCCTGAGCATCCGGTCGGTCTCTTCGTGGGATACAAAGACCTGCCGGAGAAAACTCTCGAAGTGTTCAAAGGCGAATACTACGTCACAGGCGACAAGGTCCACAAAGACGTTGATGGCTACTATTGGTTCGATATGCGGGCGGACGACGTGATCACGACGGCCGGCTATCGCGTCGGACCGGTCGAGATTGAAACAATCTTGAATGAGCATCCTGCTGTCCTGGAAAGCGGGGTAATTGGAGCTCCGGACAAACAACGAGGTGAAATCGTCAAGGCTTTCGTGGTTCTGAGAGATCAAAACCTCGCGACGGAGACTCTGAAGAGAGAGTTGCAAGATTTTGTCAAAACACGAACAGCACCCTACAAGTATCCGAGAGAAATCGCATTTCGAGAAGCCCTGCCGAAAACGATCAGCGGAAAGGTTCAGAGGAATTTACTGAAAAAAGAAGGGAATGCACAATGATTTCGATGGAAATAAAATTGTGGACTGAATCGCTGCACCCAATTCGCGGGAATGCCCGATCTCAGGGACGAGAAATTGTGTGCCTTCATCTTGACGAGCCTGGACGTCCGCGAAAGCATCGGAAAACCCGGAATGCCGCGGCGCTCCATCGCTCTGAGGTCCACACGTTTCCTACCCATCCGCTCACTCTCCTCAGCCGGCTACGGAATCGATCGAGGCCGCTCCTGGGAGCTCACGCAGTTCTATGTTTCCCGGCTGGAAGGCGAAGTCTACGGTACAGAGGAGTACTTCTCTTCTCCGACGGCCGAACATCCCCGTCAGGGCACTCCCTATTCTGCATGATTGCTTCCCTTTATCACGAGAAGCATTTCGTCGCTGGCAGGCAGGTGCCCTCTCCTTTTCGAAAACGGAGCGGTGGCGGAGGCAGTCGCATGCGGTCTCTTCCACTCCAAGGCGCGCCGGACCCGCAGTCGTCAGACTGACTGCCTGCTGTTCTCGTGTTCGCTGACGGACAATCGCAGCTTTCGTCGTCGCCAGCACGCTTGTTTCAGCTGTGTCGTAGACTACGAAGCAACATGTCGAAACCAAGCGAGAAAATCGGCATCATAGGAAGGTGAGTGCAAACCGGCTATGAACCCGGGAATCCAGATATCTCAGCGATGGAATATAACTGACTGAGCTGCACCGCCAGAAATTATGAGCTGTAATGAATAGCTCTCGGTGTATTATACTGTATCGCTTGCCTAGCACTCACTCAGCTTGTATCACCGAGATACATTCCGCTTTCTTGTGACTCGGTCATCGGCGCGGGACTCCCGTCAAAGACGAGAGTACATCCACTGAAAGGATTTTCAATCGAAAGAGAAATTCATTTCAGCGGCCTTATCGGTCGTTCATGGGCCATGCTCTTCGCCGGGGGCGGTTACGATGTTCACCTCTTCGACGTCGAGCAGAAGCGGATCGGCGAAGCGCTGAGCGACATAAAGACCCAACTCAAGGACCTGGAAAAGAAGGGAATGTTGAGGTAAAGTCAGAGAAGCATCGTAGTGGGATGGCAAAAAAAATTCGGAGTACGATCCCTTTTGAGGTACGGAGTCCCCATCACAATGGAAATCATTGTGCTCGCCAGACCAAGATACGGTCCGTAAACAGCTCACCGTAACAGAGAGCGATGGTGCTTCCTGGCGGAATAAGCGCCAGAGAATAACCGAAACTGCGAAATAATCGGATAACGACAAGAATGTCATTGGTCCTTTTATATCAGCAAGAAGTTTCATTGCATATCGATTTTACTCTTCTGCTTATTTTTGGCTAAGACCAATGACTGGTCTCCGCAGAGGCAAGCTGAATGCGGAGCAGCAGGCCGCCTTGATCAAACCAGCTGCGACTCTCGAGGAGGTAGTGACAGGAGCTCTCTACGTGCAGGAATGCGTTTTCGAGGACGTAAACTTGAAGCGGGATGTGTTCAAGCAGCTGGACGCAATCGTCGACGACAAGACAAGTCAGAAAATCTGAATCAACTATCAGCCTTTCGATTGAGATGATTTGCACGACTTGTCTCAAGAGTCGACTTGGGAGAGAACGGTGAATGACCTGTACAACATTATTTTAGTCTTGGCCAGCTCTACAAGTTGTTTCCCGCCATCACAATTCACGGAGGACCTGAAACACCGCGGCCAATGTATCGTCGCCCACCCTGTCAACCCGCCGTATTACGTGCCTTTGGTGGAGGTTATCCCTGCTCCGTGGACCGATTCCCAGGTGATTGTTGTTGTATTACAATGCCTGTCTATCTGGCTGATAAGGATCGTCATAAATCCAGCTCGTGATTAGATTCTCTAAGGAAAGACGGAGGGATAAGTTCTCCAAGATCTAGATGGCTGTCTGTCGTAGGCAAAGATCGATTTATGTGCCTTCGACAGATATTCGACGCCGCTCATCATCATCGGTCTCTGACCGCGGCTAGATAGCCGAGAGCCTTATCCCAACAGTTTTTACGTTTCATCGATTCCTCCAGGTCACGCAGACTACACGAGCTATCCAAGACAGGATCGGCCAGAAACCTGTTGTTTTAAATAAGGAAGTCGAAGGCTTCGCCCTCAACAGAATTCAATACGCAATCCTCAACGAATGCTGGAACTTGATTGAAGACGGTGTTTTATCGGTCCGTGACGCGGACACCGTCATGAGTGAGGGCCTCGGAATGAGATACGCCTTCCTTGGACCTCTGGAGACCGCTCACCTCAACGCCGAAGGTGGGTCCTCCTGTCTCTCCTCCGCAACATTTTCTTGCCTCGAATGACTTCGACTCGAATGTCTAATCAAATCGAAATGACTCTTCTGCAGGAACTCAAGAATACTTCGCGAAATACGCTTCGGGTATCATACGTGTCTCGAACACGTTCAAAGGCATCCCCACGTACTCGAAAGAAACCACTGACGTTGTCGATCAAGCCCTCAGTGCTAAAATGCCGGTAGCTGAACTGACAAAATGGAGGAAGTGGAGAGACACAAGGCTCGCTCTCCTGTCCAAGCTCAAGAGGGATGCTGACAAAGAAAGCGAATAAACATTTCAGTCTATATCAAACAAGCAGGGTGAAAAGCTTTTTTCGACACATTGCTTGGTCTTCGACCTCGAAATCGTTCGACCTCGAAATCGCTCGACCTCAAAATCCCGACGCGGGGCTCATGTACGCATCCTCTGCCTCAGAACGTGTTTTTCTAAGAGTCCCGTGGCGAAGTTGTCGGTGTCTTGCCCCGCTCCGTAGGCCCAGTCGTATTCAACTTCTTGCAATGATACGACGTCGAATTTTATCGAGGGTCCACTTTTCGAAGCTTTGGTCGCGAAGAGCTGAAATGAAGAGCTTGATGTGTTATGATGTTATGACCAGACCTGAACAGGTGCGGCATGCTGGAATCGAAGGACATTGAATCGAATCGGTTGACCCTTGGCAGCATCAGGATCCGGATCCCAGGGTACTTAGGACTCACCGCGGCCGCTCTGGGCTCGTAATCCTGGGAGACTTCAGAGTGTGAGTTTCGCAGAGCTTCGTAGCCATTCTCGCACGAAGCCGCGATGATCAAAACGAAGAACAGAGCTGTCAAACCCACCCCAACGAGTAGGGGGCCGGGAACCTGCCTCGGATCTGATGAAAGACAAGGAACCGTAAATGATTTCCGTTTCGCTTCTACGTGGAAGGCTCGTCAAAGATGGGTTGTGAGTTGTTTCGATCAAGGATTCGAAATGTCCCATGCCAACCTCGTTGACAACTAGAGGCCGAGACTGGATAATCGCCCTTCCTGCACTGGCATATGCCCCACATGCAAGTTGCGTTCGCTCCTGCGCATACGTCACTACAGAAAAGAGGTTTGCGATATGATTTGGGGAAAACTCGACACCGGTAGCCAACTATATGGGTGCTGTTTGCCCAAGCGGGTAAGTCCCTGTGGAAAGATCGAAAGCCCTCGACCGAGGACCTGATCAGCATATGAAACCAGATAATCGAGACGGCGGTTACCCGCATCTCGGAACGTTGTTTTCGGATAAGAACAACGATTCTCGGATCACTCCCCGAATGTGCGACACGGGAAATCCGGTCTTGCAGATGGGACGCTTGAGACTCAGAAGGACAGGACGTTCGAGATTCGAAGGGCAGGACACTAGGGATTCAGAGGACAGGACGCTGGAGATGTCAAATTGATTTATTCGTTCCGCTACTAGATATCACGTTCAACATGAATTGCAGGAGCTTGCTGACAATGTACACATTTACACTATTGCCCAATAGATGGTATCGCTCCTTCAACGATGTTGTTTCGGGGAATCGGAACGAGGACGGGAAGCACATCAGCGACGAAACTTCTTCAGGGCTGAACAGGCGCAATTTCAAATCTGGAGGGAAAGCCTCAGTGAGAGCGAATCCTCCGCAATCAACTTCGATGTTTCATGCGACTTCCGCTCTGGACGTGAATCTTTTTATGAGACTGATCACCAAATGAGACTTCCTCTGAATTAATACCTGCCTTTTATTGCGGCGAGTCGGGTTTCGTCGGGTGCGGAATACGCTTCGTCGATGCGGGCCTTCGGCAGTTCGGCTATCACAGATCCAGTCCCCTTCATATATCGTCCGTAGTTCTTGGTGAAACAACAGGAGTTCGTGGAAGATGGGAGTACAATATCTAATACCTAGAAAAGGAGCCTGTCAATCCATCATCCGTCTCTCATTTATTGTGAAGCAATCTTTCGACGAGTCAATGAGGCTCACCATGCAGTTTTTTTCAAGAACAGCCTCATCCAATAAGAGCTCATCGTTCTCGGCCCCCCTCAGGAAGTGTTCCACCGTAGTCATCGGGGGCACTTCGCTTTCTGAGAGGAAAAAGGAAGGATCTTGAATAATCTTCGAGGGATCGACCGAAAACATGTGCTTGTATGCAGTCTGCACAAGATCTTGCCGGATCGCCAAGCAGTAGTATCTGGGATGAGAGAAGGGAATAAGCTCAGTGTTCTGCTGATCAGTTGAGTGGCAGGGGGAGGTAATTTGGCAATTAGGTGAGGCACCGGGACCGAGTTCGCGCCTTACCGCAAACGAGAGTTCGGGATCCCGAATTGGGTCGGAGATAAGGAGCACTGCGCGTACACGAAACCGCAATTCTCGAGGAATTGCAGGAATCCATGGCACACGGGGCTGCTCTCGAAGCCCCTCACATTCTCGAGGAAAATCATTCTGAGAAAAGAAACCGTATGGAACGTCTGAAGAACCTTACTGAATCTTGATCACTGATCCTATTTTACGGAACAGATGAGTGGAGCCCAACTTCCCCCACGGTACTTACTTAGGCCGTGATTCCAGCTGCGGCAATACCTTCAGCAGATGCAGGAATGATTGAGTCCTCGGATCTCGCTCGCCTAATTGCTTGCCTTGCCTTGTGAACGGTTGACAGGGTGGACTCATTGTCAACAAATCACAAGCAAGAGCGCCGTCGAGCTCTTTCACGGACAAGGACTGGAAGAAAATTTCAAGTTCTCTCCGTCAACGAGCGCGTCATGTATCAAAAGTCTCCGGCATTGTTCGATCCAAGTCGAGCACCTACCTGTATCTGACGATTCAGAACCTTCGTCGCGAAGTTCGACTGGTAAACTTCATTGGCGACCGTATTGATGTCGACAGCCGCCACCACTTCGAAGTCCGAGAACGGACCGAGACCGCTCTCCTCAGCCGCTTCCTGGAGAGCATAGTGCATTCCACCGATTCCGCTGTACAGCTCCAATAGTCGCAAGGTAGACATCAGGTTGCATCTGATATAACTGTGTTCTGATCGAGACCGGCTCCGCAGAAATCATCCGTCGGAGGATCTCTTCCAAAAGAAACAGCAGATGGATCACCCAACAAGTTAACTTCAGCGAGGGCGCACGACGTGGAACTTATGTTCCACAACCTTATGGATCCGAACGCATGGAATCCCTATGACGACTTCTGACAGAACACACAAGGATTCATTCCAGCATAGTGCTGAGCTCAGAATTTTACCCGCTGGAAAATGCGTTCATCAATGTCAACGAAAAGGGCTAGGGGCTCGACGAATATAGAACCAGATCTTCAGGTCTGTGACATTGCTCGCTGCAAAAAGAGATTCCACTGGACGTGGGTCAGGAACGGTGTAGGCAGCTGGCAGATTTATTATGAGCAGACAACCTGTCAATGCCTGAGCGCCGGTATTGCCGGTCGGGCTCTACGGCTCCGGGCTCTACGGCCAAAGGGGGGCAACCATGTTGACGGATGGCGCCGCTGTCCGATCGGCGCGGCTTTCGAAACTCCGAGATGTTGGGGCGAGAGGAACCCGGGAATTATCGGACTTCTATCCGCGGAGTCTTTCAGGAATCAAGCCGAGAATCCCAGTGATGGGAAAGCCCGAAATATATCAGACTCTCATCCTCGAAGTACGGAGCCTTATGGGGTCAACTCCGAGAATTCTCGTGATCAGGAATCTGAAAGCTATAGGACTTGTATTCTCGGGGTCTATGGGGATCAACTCCGGGGATCCTCGTGAAAGGAAACCCGAAAGTCCTTATCGGTTTCCTATTCCCAGAGAGCGGTCTCGCGTAAGCCCAATTATCTTCGGGATGGGAAATTAGTTATTAATTATCATTAGTTGTCTATCAACGGAGCCTCATCTCATAAGTCATGAGATGAATGCACTTGCGAAAGTTGAAAGGCTGGTGAGGGTAGCGGAAATGGCCGAGAGCATCATATCCGGGCCCGTTTCCCCGATCGCGAGCCAGAGATCCGTCTGAGAGAATGGACAAATGCTGTCTGAATCGGCTGTCGCCGACATGCCCTTTCTCCGGCCAATAATGCGGTAAGATGCCGGAACGAATTCGCTCCTGCGGGCAGTGGCGTGAGTTTGACGCCTGCTGGCGGAGAAAAATTCGTAAGGGGATTTCCCTATAGAAGAGCGGGTAGCCAGCCTCTCGGGTACATGTGCCCTCAGGATCCGTTCCCGGAAGTGGTGTGACAAACGACCACAACAAAAATACCTGAGACGAATCAATGTGATTCAGACATTCGCTAGCAATCGAGGATCAGATAATTAATTTATCGGCGACGAAGGAATTCCGCCTAGCATACGGAGGGCTCTGGGTGGCTCAGGGAGGTTCCCGCCCCTCATTTCAATTCGTTGGATGAAGAGCGCACGAGACCCTCATTCGCCCAGCCGCCCAGCCCGTCGGCAGACAGCACCGAAATGCTGTCTGCGGCGAAATTAATTCGTCGTTGTCGAATGTTCCCGCCTAGACGTACGAGGACTTCGAGTTACTCTCCGGCGGGGCTTGACACGGTATTCGGCGCGCTTGATGACAAATTATTTTGGACAGAGCTGCCCTTCAAACCGAGAGTTCGATTCCTCCAGGATAGCTGCTTCCCGGTCGGGCCATCAGATTTTCCCTCGTTTTACATCGCTAGGATAAGGGACACCGGGAGATTCCCCGGTTGGGATTCTCAGCATCGATCTCCCCACCCGCAACTTGCTCACGGTCGATGGTGAGTTCTGTCAAGTTCGGCGAGAACCCCATTAGCACCACCCGGCTGCCAGTTGACCGTTTGGCGCAGATTCGAATTTCGGAAGGGAAAAGGCGAGATTCATTGAGTAAGTGCAAACGATCGATTTGGTTTCAACATCGTTTTCTTTATTTTCGCGTCATTTGGGTTCATCTCGCAACGGTTTGTACTCGACTGAATCATGTCTTCCTCTTCAACAAAATAGAAGTGTACACAAAGCTATCATTGTCGATATGAATCGATGCCACATCGGTCCGTGCGATCATTGGAACGCACGGGCAAACGAGCGAGTGAACGAGCGAGTCAAGAAGTCAACGAATGCGACAGCGTCGATGCGCCACGCGATCCGGGAAGATTCTCACGAAACTAGGCATCAATTTTCTGCATCGACTTTTTCATTTTCATCGACTACATTTTCAGTGCTTCTTAAGAGTGTCCTGGGGGCGGATTATCTCCGCAATATATTCTCTGACTGACTTAGTGAGAATCTTTTTTTCTTTTCAAGAGGCCGAAACAAAACTCTCCGCTGCTCGACATGATTCGCTCCTTCCTCTTATTTCGCGGAAACCTCCTTGGGAGTGGCTTCCTCCAAGTCATCAGTACTATATACAGTCAATAAATAGGAAGGCTTCCATCGCTGAAAGTCTTCTGCTGCTCTCCTACAACCTTATACATACTATTCCTTCCATCTCCTGTCCGGCATCTTCACAGCTGACCGAGGCACTTTTTGGTTATTCCCAACTCCCAACCACATCGCTTTGGTTCTTTGGTGTCCCAAACGGAGCTGGTTCCCGTTTACGAAGTCGGACGAGGTGGACTTTTCTGTGGCGTTTGGATGGGCGACGATGTCGCGTTGCCTTCGGTTGCGGACGTCTCCAACACGTGAAGCGTCGACGACAGCTGTAAATTCAAGTCTCTGAGTTTGTGGCACACGTCCGTCATGTCGTAGTCGGGACGAGTCATCACGAAGTAGCCCGACCGGTGTTCGCAGAGCTGTTTGCAATATATTTTTAAAACAACGTCCATGTCGTCGTCTTCGGTTGATCCGAGTTGCAGCGAAGGGAACAGCTGCCGGTAGGTGTGGAGATGTTTGGTGACTTTGTTCCATTTGTGCTGCATAATGAGCTCAATGAGCACGTTTTCGGCCTCGGGTTGCGAGAGCAGATGGACCTCGATCGGGACCGGTGGTGAGAGTCGATCGGACTCGGTGTCCTCCACGGCTCTGATGATTTCGGCCTTGACGGCGGAAACCTCTTCGGAAAGATCCACGATCTGAGTGTGGTTTATGCTGTTCGTCAGGTGGGAGAGCACCTTGTTGTAGCTGTCGACCAGGAGCAACGCCTGGAAGTGCAACTTGTACAGACCGCGACAGAGGTCCAATTTCGTTTCGTCGAGCATTTCTTCGCTGATCTCCTCCCCGATAGACTCGAGTTTCATGGCCGAACGCAACGCATCCATGTACTCCAGGTTGTGCTCGCGTTTCTCGAGGAAAGTTTCGAAATGTTCCTGCACCTCCAACACGAGGAATTTCAGTCGCTCAAGCGAGCGCGACGAACTGAGAAGTTCAGGATCGATGTGGATGAACGGCGGCTCGGCTTGATTCGCCAGAACGTCCAGAATCGAGGTGAAGTTCGTGGTGATCTTCTTGAAGTTGTCGCTGTTGTTGAGATGATTACAGCATTCACGCGTGAGCTCGGTCACTTTTCGGAAGCATTGCTTGAGCAGACGTCCCAAAGTTCTGCAACAAATTGAGAGCATGGAATTTCTATCTGCCGCCCGAGACCTTTTCGCGCAACTGAGGGAACAACTCCAATAAGCTCGCGGTCACTGGAGATACGAATGAATGAAGGACATCCCATTTTTGAAAGGGAGGGAAATCCATAAAGGAAGGAATGAATGCATGAATCAATTATTATTGTTTGAGAGACAATTATCATTCTTACCGGTAGACGTTTGCGCCAGCTGAGGCTTCGGTTGCCGCGGTCATCAGTTGACGTACGTTGGACCTCCATAAATTCTCGCATTCATCGAGATACGGTGGACAGCCGTGTCCTCCGTGGGCGAGCACAGGCGAGAACGTTGGCGAAGTGTTCGACAACGTGCAGTCGCCTTCCGATATGAGGGATTGCGAGGATCCGGATATTCTTGACGGCGACGGTCTGTTCGGAAACACCAGTGAAATGCTGGGAACGTCGGAATGGTCGTAGAATGGAGACACCGAACCATCGTCCGACGACGAATTATTGTCCTGTTTGGTTTTCTTCTCCTTCTGAGGCACCAGGGTGTTGTAATTGCTCTGTGCTCCAGAAGTTCCGGGATAGTTCCCGTCCTCGACTTCGAAGTTCGACAGAGATCTTCTGCGTACGCCCCAATTGAAGTTGTCCATCGTTTCACCCTCTTGACTCTCCAGCTCGTATTCGAGGAAATCGAAATCTTTGAAGACTCCGAATTCGTTGTTGGTGTCCATATCGGCCGAGGAGTGGTGTTCGCCTTGGCCGGCGTTGACCGAGACCTCTTCCGTAGACGAGCACATCGACATCGATTGATGATGCGAGTCCGACGTGTGGCTGAATATAACCGAAGGGCTTTTCGGTAGAGCGGTGACACGTTGGCCGCACGAGCTCAGCACCGAGATCAGGTGTTCGCGGGTCTTCGGCTGCAACGACACGATCGAAAGAGCTTTAGAATGGGAGAGAAAAAAACTGGAGAATGGGAACGGGAGAATAGCACGATGCGCGACGAGTATTCGGCATCCGGCTCGACTCACCTGTGACAACCAGGGCCTCTTCCAGCCTCCGAAGCTCTCGTTATTGAACGAAGCTCCGTGCGAAAGGCTGCGTCTCGGTGACGGCGCGGCCAGCGTACTGTTGTTCGAGCTCGAAGTCTGCCCACTCGGAGCCGGGGTGGGCGTCGGGGTCATGGGGCTGGCGCTCTTGAGCCCCACGTAAGGTACGCAGTTCATGTCGAAACTGAAATCCATCGTCCTCCCTGGCAGCTCTCGTTTACCACTGTTGACGCTATCGGCAACCTCGGAGGCGCTCGACGCGAGCGAAACCGCGTCGGAAGCATGAGGTGCAGGATGCGTGGCCTGAGGCACGCCGGTCGCGTTAGGAGGTAACACCGAGCAGCGAGTCACGACGTGCTTGATCACTCTGAGCGCGTCCTTCCAGCTGTTGCCCTCGATGTAACGAGCCATCGTTTTCAAGAGGTCGTTGTTGATGCATGTGGCTGTTGTTGGACCACTGATGTCGAGGTAGAGGAGAATGCAGTAGAGGACGGTGAGAACATGAGGAACGAGATAATTCGGGCCTTTTTCCAGCATTTCAACGAGGAATCCGAGCAGATGGAGGAACACGTCGTGGTAGGCATCGTAGAGGTACTTGACGATGCACTTGCACCACTGCAAGCTCTCTTTGCTGAACGATCGCTGCGAGTAGAGCGTCATCACGGTCGCGAGGTTCTCGAGCTGGGGTCCTTGCTCGACGCAGACCTGCGCTATGTTTTCAGCCGCTCTGATACATTCGGCGTTGGCGTCGTCGTAGTTCGCCAGAAAATAAGGCAGGAGAGCTATGACGTGCAGCGGGAATCCGAGGCTGTTCTGCGAGCAATCGACGACCGCGATGTCGAGATGATTGGTCAGAAGACAGAGGACGTTGACGGTCGAATCGAAAGCTGTCGGTGACGTGCAGCCTTTCAGGAGAATGTTGTGCACACCCGGGAAGTTGGTCCACTTCATCTGCGAGCGGATCTTGTCCAATTTCTCCACGCATTCGGTGCTCTTCAGAGGCAGCTTCAGTAACACCTTTTCCAGAAGTCGTAACGCCAATAGGAACTCGTGCTCGTAGTCGGAATCGAGCACAGAGACAGCGATCCAGAACATTTGCAGCAGAAGATTAGTCTTATCCTCTTGAGTGACTTCTTCGCCGACCTTGAGCGAGAGAGCACTTCTCGATCGACCCAATTGCTGTTGTTGCTGCTGCTGGGGCTGGATCGATTGCGACCTTGAAAGCTCATCTTCGGCAGGAACTTGGGGACGGCCAGTCTTCGGAACGGGAGACTCGCCGCCTCCACCACCGCTGCCGCCGCCGCTAACTACGACGGCCGCGGGTTTCTTCTGCTGAACAGAGCCGTGTGCGCTGTACGACGTGGAACGGGCGTGGCTGTGTTGCCGATGTAGAGACGAATACATGACCGCGCTGTGGTGCTTCCGGTTATGAGGCGGTATGGGCTTGAAAATTTCCTTCATGAGGTCCGAGATCTTGATGTTCGCGTCGAGGGCGTCCACCGCCGCTTCGAGCGTCAGCATCAACTCGGTGACGTAACCCTGCATGTCTTCGCCCTGCTCGCTGACGGTCTCCACGAGCCGCGATAGGATGTCCATGAGCATCCGGTTGTTCAACGGGACGCCGAGAGCTCGGAAAATCTGCAGGGAACGTCCCGCGTAATGGCGCGAGGAGCAGCTCAGCGCCATCTGCAGCGAGCATTGAGCCCATCGTTCTTCGATTCTGGCCGATGGTAGCGACTCCTTGAAGACGAACAGCACGTGCTGCAGGAACGTGGACAGCTGCTCGGTACTCTTGACGTTCCACACCTTGGCCGTGATGTCTTCACAAGCCCACAGGGAACCTTCGAACTTGCAGGCCAGGAAATCGACGAGACACTTGGTCACGTCTTCGGTGGTGACCTCCTCGTTTTCGCTCTTGCCCAACTTCACTCGGACGGACACGAACGCTTCGGTGGTGCATGTTGGATTGTTAACGAGTGTTGTCGACGTGCTCAGAGCCGTCTTCTGCGGATCGGTGAAATTGTACTTGATAGTGGTGAACAGTTGTCCGGGAAGCCCGAAGTTCAGCTGTTGGGTCGCCGCATTGAGGAGTATGCGGGAAATCGTATAGTCGTCGTTGTGCTGTGCGACGGCGATCAGCAAATTCAGAAGGAGTTTTCTGCAATGCTCGTACACGAGCTGCTTTCCGTTGTCGAGGCCCAGGAAGGCCAGATGTAACATGAGTGGAATGTGGGGGGACCAATCGATGGAGATGCCGGACGTCACAATGTCCGTCAACAGGATCACAGCCATGTTGCAACGATGAAAGCCACAGTTGGGAAATACGCTCGTGACGGGAAGCTCCTGCGCGAGCGGGGCGTAGTAGCCGCCGTACTCGGGCATCGGCAGCGGGTGTGGGTCTTTGGGCGTTTTGCCTTCGTCGGCCATACGGCACAACAGAATGAAATTGTTCTCACCCTGTTCCTGGTCGACTCGGTTCAAGCTCTTCACCGACGACACGGACCCGTCGGATCCGTCCTCGGCGCTCCGGCGTTTCGTGTGGATCGTTCCTCTTTCCTGCTCCTGCTCGATCCGTTTCTCCTCTTCGCTGTTGTTGCTGCTGCCTTTCCTGGTCAGGCGGTAGAACGGCGTGGCTTCGATGCGCTCGACGTGAGCGTTCAGTGTTTCGACGACCTGGAGCTCGGCCATGAGCTCATCGATGAGCCCCTCGGGTGCGGTGCGTGCCATGTAGAGCACGATCCTCTTGCAGATGTGCAGAAGTGTTCCGGGCGAGAGGGTGATCATGATGAACAGGTATCGGATGATGACGCGCAAGTTGTTCGGCCAACAGAGTCCAAGAGCTGCCCAGAGCTCCTCGATCTCCTTGGCGTGCTCGTCGCCGTATTTTACGGTTATGTAGAACAGGTTGTTCAGAACCATCTCGGTGGCTTCGGCGGTGCCCCAGCCCTCCTTGCCGGCCGGGTAGGACTGCTCCTGAACGCGTAGGATGTTCGGATCTACGAGCTCCATGTTGTGCAGCCATGGGAGCAGATAGTGGAGCATGTTGGCTCGGACCGCGGGCCGCGCGGTCTGGAAACGACTGGTGACCTCGGAGAACATCGGCATCGTCAGTTCTGGATGCAGACGGGATATCTGTCTCGAGAGAAAGAGCTGCGACGGAGAGAAGCCCGGCGGTAGCAGGGGCTTCTTCATCTCGTCCCTGAACCAGACGTTCGGTTGACCTTTCTCGGAACGGGGACTCGTCCGACCGGGACTGCCTGAGCTCTGGGAGCTCGGCGAACTGCTGATCGGCTCCTCGGATCGCGGCAAGAGAGGCGATCGTTTGCGTTCCTCGTCCTTGACGGATTTCTTCCTCCCGTCGGGCGTGCTGGGTTCCTCAAACGACTCACACATTGAAGGCGATCTGAAGAAGCGATTATCGAGCACGTGCAGCAGCTGAAGCGCGATCTCTTGATTGTGAGCCCTTGAAGAGCCCGAGTTGAGGAGCGCGACGTTTATTATCGAAATGTAGTGGTCGCATGGATAATCGCGACTGCTGAACACTGTCACAAGAGCTTTGAAACAGGAATCGGCCAGTTTCACCTGACCCGTATAGCAACGGTCGACCAGCCACTCCAGCACGTTCACCGTGTCCTGGTTGTTTTCCAGGAGCAGGACGACGGTCTCGAGTCCGATCTGGTTGAGCTTCTCGTCCTTGGACGACAGCAGCCCGTCTAGCCAGTTGTAGATGACGCTCTCCTCGTGCACGCCGGGCGGCTCGAACATGGGCCCGCATCCCAGCACGGTGCACATCGCTTGAAGATGCGTCATGTCGTAATCCATGACGTTGTCATTCCGTTCCGAAAACGGCGTTCCGAGGTAACCGCACCAGTTGGCGAACAGGTAGAATAGTTTGCGACGCAGTTCCAGCGACAACAACGCGGATCTCTGCTCGATGTTGAAGCTTTTGATGAGCTTGACCAGGAGACTGCAGAAGTGATGCTTCAGTTCGGTCGCCATCGACGCCGAATCCTTGTCGGCCGCCTCGCTCTCGAGGAGCAAACGCACCCCGTCGATGTATTCCTGGAACACGGGTGACAGGGCACCGGTCTCCTTGTCCCGAACGCAGGATGCCAGAGCGAGGGTCCCCTCTCCCGCGAGTTTCTCCAACAGTTTGGTCAGATGCACTCGGAGGATGTCCCTCCTACGACGTCGTCTGAGATTCTCTTGTTTCCTGTCCACAGCTTCTCGCACGTGAGCAGCGAGTTCTTCGACGAGATCCTTCAGGGCTGTGGCGTTCACTTGCGCCAGGGCGAGCACGACTGCCGACCTCATGTCGGACTGTTCTGATCTCAGCAAAGGCACGAGTTGCTTGAAAAGATTTGTTGCGCTGATTCCGGAATTGCTGATGCGACTCTCGTCGCGACCGGCGGGAAGGTTTTCCGGAGAACTACTGAAACTGAGGTCGGGCGAAAGGTATCGCATGATCACATTTGGGTTTGACGGCGCCACTCGACACGCGAACAAGATGTAGTTCCGCCACAACGTGAGTTGGGCATCTCGTTCCGAAGTGGTCTTCTTCACGGTGTTGGTCCTGAAAAAAAAATTAAGTCAATCTTGGCTCGAGAGTGAAAGTGGACACAGAGGAGCACGGGAATCACATGATCGAACGAGAATCTCCTCCATCCGGAGCCATTCCGAGAGCGATGGTATTGTTCGTGTCGATTGAGGAGGCGACGTTGAGAGTTCTCGAATCCAGGAAGCCGGGTGACGTCGACCGAAAGCGGTCGTAATCCGTTTTATTTTTGCCCCTCGATCGCCGACTCTCATGCTCTCCGACAGTCTGTCAGCTGGTTACTCAGTCCTTCGATTAGCAGTAGCCGGGAAACCTACCTCAACAACGATGCTCGATTGTCATTGATGAGACTCATTTCGAAGTGACTGAACAGTGCATTGATTCGGTTGGTTACGATTGGCCACGACATCGTGACGGCTGTCGGGCAATGCTTCACCACGCCGGGAATGAATGTCATCATCGAAAGACACCACGCGTCCATTTTTGACAAGTCCTGGAAGACATTCGATGAACTTGAAGAGCCCGCTGTGTTCGTGTTTCCCTTAGAAGCTTCTGCCTCGGCCATTGTGGGATTCCCCGTCCAAATTGGGTTATTCCTCTCCGTGAGCCATTGCAAGTCCACTTGCTGGGATTGCTGGGCTGTCAGGAGGGCCATTCGCTCGGAAACCGGCAGCTGCAACTGAGGATGTCGCAAACAGCGCTCAACGACCTCGGGCAACGCGCTTTCGATGATGTCGATCACAGGAGGATCAGAACGAGGTGGAGGTGGCAACAGCGTGCGAATAAGTCCTTTGGTTTCTTTCAACAGATGAACCGCTACTCGACGTTGCGTGAGCTGAAACAGAGAATCTTCCGCTTTAGCCGAAGTTTCCCTCCCATATCATCGAGGGATACGATCACAGAGATTGAGGGAAGATTATTATCATTGTTTTGTGTTATGCCATTGCTATCATAATTATTATCGATATCGACGGGGGATTTCGTAAGATCCTGGTTAACGCACCCGATTCTGACAGAGCATGGCCAGACAAAGCCCCTCGACTTGATGCAGAACTGTTGCGATTGCGTCCATGCGCATTTCCGAGACGTCGCGAGATTTCGGATTCGAGTTCTTCCAGGCCGTCAGCAGTTGGAGTAGCATTTTCAGCGCCTGATCCATCAGATGGGGTTGACCGAGATCTCCGATGTCTCGGAGCGCGAATTGAATAAAGCCTTGAATAACGTCCTCACGCCATTCGGGAAGATCGGAGATCATGTTCTGTAACGATTGGTAGGCCAGACCCCGAAGCTCTTCATCGATGTGAACGGTAAGACGCGCGAGGAGATCGACGAGATCTTGCTTTCGCATGCCGTCGGGAATGAGCCGAGGAACGGCGGCCACGCACGTGCGGAAGAGATCAATTTTTGGTTTACGTTCCGCTGTTATCATTTCTTCAGCCTGAAAAGGAAAAAAAATCAGAAATCGAAGATGCCTACCAGACTGGAGGAGCTGAGTTCCTTTTGCTACTCAATCAACTCGCTCGCATCGAGTCGCAGTTCGAATAATTCACGATTCATATGTGCATGGATAATTCCATGATTCGACAGTCATCGCCCAATTTTCCGGAAGGACGCTCAATCTACACGCGGTAGGCGAAATCGAGCGCAGTCTCATAAGTGATCGGGGAGAGGAAGCAGGATAAAATTCGAGCGTTTCGAAAACAAGGAATGTTTATCTTCGCGCGGAATGGAAACGAAATGGAAGAGTACACATGCGTACGGCAGGAATTTTCCCAGTGGAATAGGCATATCACAAGAAGGAGCCGCGAATCGTTGATTCGGTTCGCCTTGAGGGATACATACTTCGAGTTTTCGTCTCGCTTGAACTTCCTGCTCCGTGTGAACGTCTAATCCAATGTCGAGGACTCCTCTTCTCATAGTACAAAATATGAGATCACGTTTCAGAGACCTAATTGGAAGTCTCCGGGAATCGTCATGCTCTGACACGGAGGAGATATTCCAGAGATGTGGAGACCTCGAAATCTCGAGATTCCAGCGAGAGAAAAAAATGAAACATCGAAAAATCGCCGTGCGGATATCGGTCTCAATGGCTCAGGTTTGCGCGATTCGCGAATCCGAGTCTATCGACTAACTATGGGGTCAAGACGCATACGAGCACCGTGACGTGCACACCTCAGGGATAGCTGGATCGATCTTCGAAGATTACTGGATAGACACCGGCTCGGCCAAATTCTGATGGGATCCATAACAATGCTTTATTGTTTGTCCGGCCGCATCTTATCCGCCGCGTGGGACCACACCAGTCGAACTGGAAGATTTGTTCCGCTGTGTGCGACGGTCTAAGCGCTTAGTCTCTCGACCTTCGCAGGACGTCAGCTCACCAGCCGTGGAGAACATCGGAGTTTGTCGCGTGCGAGCTGCCTTAATTCCTCTGCTTGGGTGTTTTCCAGCTTCTCCCGGTGTGCGATCGCGAGCTCCACTCAAGCGGATCGACATTAGGCCGCCTTGGTGGAAACTGAATGCCGTTCTTTCATTAGCTGACAGGGCGACGGATTTCTCGAAAGCGGCAGCTGGCCGCATCATTCGATAAGATGCTCTTGGAAGATTCGAATGAACCTGATTGGGCATTGAATCGAGAGCCGACAAGGAGAAGCTGTGGGATACGGAGTTCTCAGTCCGGATCGGTGCGTAGAACACATCCGGATAATTAGCGACTCGCGTAGAAAATTGGCTTCTGTGTCACAGCCGACACGCAACTCCCCGAGCGAGCACAGGGAGAATAGGGCAGCAGGCACGTCGATCAATCCGACAAGCTCAGTGGCAGCTTCCTGACCAAACGGATGAACAACAAGTTGGAACTGCGACTCGCCGTCCTCTGCGCGGCTACGTAATTTCCGCTGCGTTCTGGACGTTCCATCTCGCCGTGACGTCGTCGTTACGTCGCTCGGGCTTCCCTCAAGGACACTCGAAGGCCGGAACGCGAGCGTCCCAGTAAATGCACTACCCGCATGACAAAGCTTCGCAGCCGACGAACGGCGCAGCAGAAAAACGTTACGGCGCGGCGCAATGCAGCGCAGTTCATCCGACCGTTCGTCCGATGAAGTGCTGGGAGTGCTCGTCGACACGAACCACCTGCGCGGGTTTCGAACAGAAATTCTCGCGAACTCCGCCGCAATCCGAGTGAGGCGGAAAGCTGTACCCATTACCATTTACTCAACACCGCAGTTCCCAAGTCGTCATGACATGACTATTCTGCGTCGCGCGCCAAGCTCGTCTCCGAATCTAAAGACCTGACGACGGAGCAGCTCTTGGTGAATGTATTTCGATTTTTGAGAACTCGACTCCGCTCCGGATTCTGCAGGAGTGAGCCAAGCGATACCTCATGGGCGTTTTCCGTTTTCGCCTGGTAGTTCCTGAATTTCATCGCAGATCCAATAACAGCGAGGAACTCACCTCTTTGTTGGAGTTCTGGGTGCTCGTCATCATGAGAGGCTTCCCAAACTGCGCGTCGAGGGCCCTCAGAATGTCATCGAAGGCTTTCCTCACATAGTAATAGTACTGAGACATGCCAATCGACTTCGCAGTATCTTCTGTGAGAGCCTTGTTTATAAAGGTCTTTTTCACTCGAAGTGTGCTTCCGGACGGAAGCACTCCCACCGTCCGTGGCATAGGCGGATACCTGGAAGTGAATAGAACAGATTCTAGTTGGACGGCATTACCACAAGAGACTAATCAATGCATCTGGGAGCGCGACTTCTGCCCAACGAAGTCTTATCGCGGCTATAAGAACAGTGATAGCTGAATAGGGAAAAATTGAGGCACGGCGAAAAAAACGCATTCTACTCACGATTCCTGGCTGAATGGATAGAGTATCGAATTGATCAAAATTATAGTCACAAAACAAAAAGAATTTCTCTCGGGATCAACGAAAAATCGGTCATCATCCCTCGGTAGCGTCTGAGCAGAACTTCCATCTTCTGGCTGATTAATCCGACGCCAAGAATCTTCGGATTGCTCGCTCCATCGTGACAGCATTATTTCAATCAGCTATTCGAGCTGGGTACTTTATAGCGTTTTTTCACTCAGAAACAATTAAGCTCAAGTTTTTGATAAGCGACGCCCTCCGCGATATCTGACGCCTGCTTGCGGTTTATGGGTCACCGGGGACAAGGCGGGATAATTGAAATCCTGCTCTTTCGCCCAAGTTCAGTGTCTTCCGGCTCTCTTGGCCATTGATGCGCACCAAGACAGATCGCGACGATCTTGAGCCCCTGCGAAGGCTCTAATTACTCAGAGCAATATTCTGATGAAGGTCCTCCTTCCTGTTCGTCGTTCGCTGCCATCTTCAGTATCGTTCGGCGAACTCTTCAGCCACAGCTCCCTAATCCATTCCGGCTGCTGATTGTCCGCAATAAAAATTACTGTCGATTGGCCGTCGTTTTTGAAAAGGGAGACAGTTGAAAACAGAAAATGCTCTGATTGTAAATGTCGCCTCCGGGCATTCTCACGGGCGTGAACATCGAGATCTAATCCGCGATCCATGGTAGCATTTACTACACATTGTCGTCGGAAATCCTCTCTCCACCACTATAAATAAGCTCACAGAACGGAAAAGACAAGAAACCATAGAGGAACCTTCGGCCGAGCAGCGGTCGTCAAAATAGTGCACGTCCACATCGGTGACACCGGGCAAAGGCAACGAGTGTCCACCGCAGCTCGATCAAGGATCTCTCTACTAAGGAGAACGGGAACACAAGGAGGATGCCTGGACTCGCGGAACTATCCCCCGCCCCATTATTGCAGAATTTCTACACGACGAGACTCGGGAGAAAATAAATAAAACGAAGAAGTCTTTGAACTCACTCAGAGGGCCTCAGCGTGGGCAATAATAGCATCAACCGCCCTCACCATCGACAAACGCCAACAGCAAAAATGATACCTTCCTCAGTTTACCATTTAATTACTGTTACGATGATGGCGTTCCCATTCGGCCTACGGCTTTTCATGAAACTACTCATGACCCCTGCGGCGATTCTGTATAACCGACTCTGGCAGACACAACAGACTGACGAGAAGATCGTAGCGACAACAACCTGCTCGACGAGAGCCAGTGTATGTCGAAAGACGATGTTCGTAAATATTCCATTTCTCAGCGAAGCGATTGAATATCGAGCCTTAGGCCAGGCCGGCTTTATTGAGATCCTTGAGCATCAACTCCCTGACGCACAAAAAACTCACAATGGGCTGCACTGTCCTCGGACGAAACCGCGCGGGTTCGCCTTTTGTGAGAGGCGTTGACGCGAGACGCCGAGTAGAGACAAAAAAGTGCCCGGAATCGTTCCCGAGTCTTCCCTTATTTTGCCCACATGGCATCCAGGGTTCGGTCAGCTAATCCCATGGCTCCTCGAGTCGAGCGCCGGTTACCCAATTCGCATGCTCGACATTTAATCAGGGCTTCGGTAAGGCAAACGTAATTCAATTATTTCTTCAGTTCAAATGCGATGTCGATCCCATGACCTGGTCGACGATGCGCTTCCATTGCGCAATGTATACCGATGCAATCGAGGGAGAAATATGTTTGCTCCGGGAGCTACGGATGTCGGGGTCTATTTTTCGAAGTTTAAGGCTTCCGCGGTCGCGGCAGCGAATACAATCGAACGCCGTTACGGAGCGGATCCCGAGCGGTTGTGCCAGCGGTGGACAGAATGGGAGCTCTAGCCTCACAGCTTTTTTCAAGGCTATCAGGATTACACCGAATGGTCTCGGGCGGGAAGAATCGCTGATTCGTCGCATGCGTAGGCATTCCCGCGACGTGGAGTTCAGCAGCGATTTCAGGCTCCTACCCTTTCGAGTGAGTAAACGGCGAGAATCGAGGCTTCATGAAATCGCTTGTATCGGCCACTCGATGCTTCGACGATTGATTGAGTCGATATTTCAAACTCGAAAAGGCTTTTGGCAGGGCGTGCTTCTCGCTCCGGTAGATCGAGCAGCGACACGCCGACCGATGAGCAGACATCCAGATCGGTAGGGAGGCGTTGAAAGCTTAACCCAGATTTTGTAACTGTGCTCAGGAAGAACCACGTTCTTGAGCTCGCCTGGAACAGAACGACCCAACGAATGGCACGCTTGCTTTGCGTGAGATCCGCGGAGTGAATTTCAAGCCTGATCTCGACGCTGATGTATCGGCGCACTCGACCAAAGAATTCATCGCCACCCGCGAAGCCACACTAACGATATTCGTCGGCGCGGAGTCTTCCCGCCAGTCTGTCTCAGCCTTGGTGGTCAACCCTTTTTGTTAGGCCTGCGTTTTTTGTTTTTGTTTTATTTATGTCCGTCCGACAACTACCGTCAACGCTCGCCTCGGATCTGTGTCACGAATCTTTGTGTTTTCACGACCGCGAGGACGGCTGGGCAAACAAATATTCTGAAGAGTAAAAGCGTTGGAGAGATTTAGAGAAGAGATCCTCGAGAAGTCGTAAGGAATCCTTTACTTCCCTCGCTTCGAGTTTGGCCAGGTGGGTTAGCCTTAACATCATCCTCACAACAACACTGTTTTCCCGACTGCTATTCCCCTCCGATGCTGCTCGGCTTGCGGAGATCGAAGAGGATTGATCATTCGACCGGTTTACCGAGCGAGCTCGACAGAGAGCTTACCGGGTCTGACAATCTTCCGACGCGCACCCAAGCATGATAGGATGGGATGATGAGGGATAGATGGAAGCAGAGAGTCGCTTCTCCTTTTGGTCTCTGCTCGAAATCACTCATTCAGACCCCGGTACACCCAGGTGATTCGATGATCTGATGATTTCTGGCCGAGTCCGGTGCCTACATTTTGAAAAAATATCGGCGATCACAACCAAACCCGAGAAGTGGCAACGAGTGACGGTGGTGACTATAGTAAAGACGGGGAAGCCGCGGGCTTTGAACAACGATTCCGCTCGCTTCCTTCATCTCGACAAAACATCCGTTCCTTCCCTGTAGCTCACGAGTCAATTACGTCTCGAGGGTCATTTTAATAAATGGCAATATTTTCGGATGTTGTTCCCTCCAGAATCCGTGAATAAAACTAGCAACAACGACAATTTAAAATGATTGACGAGTCGAGCGTTGGTCGAACGAATTCTTCGATTACACGGCTCCAGTTCACCCTCGTGAGGGAAGTCGCTCGCTCACCAATGCCCAGCAGAGTCAGGTTTCGTTCTTTCTCTGAGGGGTCTCCAGACTGTCGAGGTTCCCACCTTAGCTCGCTCGGAGCTGAACATCGTTTCCGGTTGACACTGACGGAGATTACGAAGCGTGGCTCCCCGAGGCCATAAAAATGATCGAAGTTTTCGCGAGTTTATTTTAACCGACCGGCTCGACTCGCACCGGCTCGATTGTTCGCTTTTTGAATAAACACGGAAACACGGAAACGATCACCGAGTTCTATCGAAGCGACAGCTACGCGGAATGGATCCGGGGTGAGTGAATACGGAACGATTCTCCGAATGAAATCATCGACTCTGCTTTGACTAATCAAGGTCGCCGCTGTCGAACCGGTTGCCCGTGACATTAGGAAGCTTTTGAATGTGAAGATCGTTCCTGTGATCCCAGGGTCGTGGAATGAACTACACCGCCACACTCGTCCGACACGCACCATAAAATGGTGGAATTCAGACAGGAACAACAGGTTCTATGCCACTTCCGTACGGAGAAGGCGCAATAATCGGGAACGCACACCCCGGAGCGGCCTGGACTCCCGTGAAGGAATGCCCGAGACGGCGAGCCTCTCCACCCAAACGGTGGTAAGCAACAATGACAAATTATCTCCACAACTTGGAGGACAGCGTTCGCTCTGCGACATTTTTAGCCCGCTCAACCGTAACCAAGCGAGCCGTTCTTGTTGGTGAGCTCAGCCGCTGGTGAAGTCACGCAAATACACGAGCGGTAACGACAGAGTCTCAGTCAGAATAATAATTCTTATGCAACGGGTATGCGGCAGAATCGGTGCTGAGCGAGTGATTGAGATTCGCAGCGCTGTGAAACAACACAACATGTCCCGATACGATCACTTCACGGCCGGCACCGTTCGGCGCGACGACGTTTCAACAAAATCTTATTCCGTTAGAACGATTCGGAAAACAAGGGGAAGAACCGGACAAGTTCGGAATATATGACTCGAATCAAGGGTGAGAGCCCTTGACACTCTGCTGACTGTTCCTCAGCTGGGTGAACGCCCTCCCCAGACGAAAGATTTCTAAACAGGCGCTCGCGCAGACACTTCAGATTCACAAAAAAAGATACAAGTCTCTAGACAGGCGACGCCATGCGCCGGTCAATGTGTGTGTCAACCGCCCGGAACGATACATTTCCACCGATATGAGTCGACGAGTGAAATACATTCTGTGCATAAAATACTTTCTACGAGTTGCACAATCCTTCTTTATTCAACCGGAAGCGAAATTCGCGGTGGATTCTTCGGATTTCGAGATAGTGTCGCATTCGGCTCTCGAGGGAAGCGCTCACTCATTCACTGACTGTCTCAGTCCGTCAGTCAGTTGGTCGGTCGGTCGGTCGAGACCTACGATCATAGTCGGAAGCAGAGACACGAGTCGCATGACTGAAGTCTGCGGCCAGACCTTGAGGTGAGGAAGCGCACCGGCTCCGGTGAATTTAAGGAACTGGTGAGACGCTCACGCG